TTGGTTGGAATGATCACGTTGAGGATGCAAATATATCTACTAGGAAGAACCTAATAAAATTATATAATTATTTTAGACATAAAAATTTTTTGTTATAATTTTCATAAAATTTTCGTAAAATGTATCATAATTTTTGTGCATCCGGTCATAGTGGTCCAATGCATTTTCTATTTCGATAAGGAGCTAGCGGCCATACTCCGAGGATAAGGTGATGGAGGATATTGTAAGGGGATATCTTTAAACTATCTACAAAAAAAAAATTCAGTATTTAATTTATTTGAGTTATATCTATATTTCAATAATCTAAGCATAGTTTAAGGAAAATTTTAGAGTTATTATAAAGTTATTATAAAGTTATTGGGCTCCATATCGAGAAAAGTTAATATGGACCGGGTGTATGTGTACCTTGTCCAAAAATAGAAAACAATCAGGACATAGAAGGAAATAAGCAAAATGATAAGGATAAAAATGTCATACAAAATTTTCAATTTAGGAAAAAGGAACACCAAATAATGGTGTACCGGGTGCACAATAACTTTTCTCCTCCATATCGTATTGATCCAAATAATCATGTTCTTATCATAAAAACAAAAGAAAATTATGTGTTGTTTATCCTTCGAATGCATGACATTTGTGTACTTCACCCCCAAGTAATAATAATGCTTAATCGTGTCTGATTCCAATGCTTTCAAGAACCCATTTTCATTACAAATTTTCATCCCTAATCACTGATATCAACTTTGCTATTCAGGTCTCTTCCGCCACCACATCATAATTTCTCACATCACATCTCCCGATTAGCACTTATAGGAATAGAATCTGCGAAATGTGATACGGGTAGCACAACATTAAAAGGGAGACCTTGCAGGATTAAGGGCTTTCCTTCTTGGGCCATTGACCATGCTCAATAATTGTTGTAGCCCAATGTGTATAGAGATAGTTAGTTACTATTCTGATAGGCAATAATTGTTGTAGCCCAATGTGTATAGAAAGGGGTAGTTATTATTCTGATAAGCATACTGGTATACAGGTGGCCATGTAATAGTCTGTAATAAGGACATATAGGAGTAAGGTGTCATTGGGATATAAAGACACCTGTTAGTTACTGTATCGATTACTTTTGCAAAATAATGAATCATTGATTTTCTCTCCCATTTTATACATACAAGTTCGCGTCTTATATCAACTGGTGCTTTCATCCCAGTGAATTCATCGTAATCACCATGCGTGTGCAGGAATTAGCCGAGGAATTCTCACATCACTGTGAGAAAAGCGACAAGAGGTTCGAACAAATTTTGGAGACGATGGGTTCGCGATTTCAGGAGATGGAATCTCGATTTCAGTCGTTAGAATCCTGTTTGCGGGAAACTCTTGTTCAGGGTTCAAGGTCACTGACTATTGTTCATCCACACAAGGGTGTTCAGCATGCGGGTCCAAGCATGGAGGATTCTAGGGTAGTCCTCAAATATGTGAAGATGGAGATACCCAAATTTGAAGGTAAAGACCCAAACACATGGATCTTTAAAGTCGATTTATTTTTTGGGATTCAGCAAGTTCCTGATCAATTGAAAGTGGAATTGGCTGGTTTACGCATAGAAGGGGTAGCGGTTGATTGGTATCAGTGAGTCTTTAGAAGTGGAAAAATAGGTTCTTGGGAGGAATTTGTTCGTGCTCTTCGTGAAAGGTTTGGACCATCCAATTACAAGGATGTGCGCGGAATACTGTCTAAGCTTGTTCAAACAGTCTCTTTACAAGATTATATGGCTGAATTTCAGAAACTGATGAATTAAGTCTCTGACATCAGCGATGAGATGTTGATGGTTTTTTATATCTGGCTTACAAGCAGATCTTCAAGGAGCTATTCAATTGCGTTGGCCAAATTCTTTGCATCAAGCTATGCAGTTAGCTATAGCTTTTGATCATCATCATGGGGAACTACATTCTTCTTTTATGGGGCATCAGAAGAAATTTTTTGTGTATTCTAAATCAGTGGGAACAGCAGCAGAAAAGGAAACATTCGATAAGCCCATTCAGCCTTTTGTCTCATCGGCATCAACATCTAATTTAAATTCTTTACATGTGAAGAAGTTCTCAACAGAGTATTTACAGAAGAGAAGGGATTCAGGGTTGTGTTATACTTGTGATGAGAAGTGGACTTCTAAACACCGTTGTCCATCCAAAATGTTAATAATGATCCTGATCCAGAGGATTCTGAAGAGGAGCTCGAGGAGGAAATCATTTAGCTGAAGGAGGAGTCCAGTGCTGCAAAAGGGGATACAACATTGCATTCTTTGTCAGGTAATCTGGATGCTAAGTCATTAGTATTGTTGGCAAAGGTTCGTGAGAGGAAGATTCAGGTGCTGGTGGATTCGAGAAGCTCTCACAGTTTCATCAGGAGAAGCTTAGTGGAGGAGTTACAATTACCTATGGTTCGAGCAACAAGGATGAGGGTCTTTATGGGTAATGGGGAATTTTTACTGTGTGAAAAAAAATGTGTGCAGGTGCCATTACTTATTCAGGGTCATCAGTTTATAACAGACTTGTACGTGGTGGAATTGTGTGACCTGAGTATTATTCTGGGGATGCAGTGGCTGGTTTCTTTGGGTCGTGTTACTCACAACTATGCAGAGCTTTCGATGGAATTTAGTTGGGGAGGTGCAGTGATTCGGTTGCAAGGAGTTATTCCTTCACACAATTTCGAATTGGAGAATTCAAGTGCAAACTGTAACACACTTGCTGTTCAACAGTGTGCATCACAATCAAATGAGGTGAATTATGACCTTTTACTCTTTAAAGATAAAGTTTCTGTAATATTGTGGAATGTGTTAGTTTGTTATCAACATGTTTTTACACTGCCCTAATCCTTACCTCCTTTTCGTGGAAGACCACATGCTATTCAGTTAGTGGATGAATCAAAACCTGTCAAGATGAAACCTTATAGGTATCCACACCATCAAAACACGGAAATTGAAAGGCAGGTTTCAGAGTTGTTAGAAGCTGGATGGATTCAGCACAGTCACAATGCTTTTTCTTCCCCAGTTTTGTTGGTAAAAAAGCATGATAACTCATGGAGAATGTGTGTGGATTATAGAGCTTTGAATGCTTTAACCATCAATGATGCTTTCCCAATTCCTACTATCGATGAATTGCTAGATGAATTGTTTGGGGCTAGGATTTTTAGCAAGCTGGATTTGAGATCAGATTACCATCAAATAAGAATGAAGCCAGAGGATATTCACAAAACTGCATTTAGGACACATGAAGGCCAATATGAGTTCAAAGTCATGCCTTTTGGGTTGACAAATGCTCCTGCTACATTCCAATCGGCTATGAATGGGATTTTTCGTCCATTTCTTAGGAAGTTCATTGTGGTTTTTTTTGATGATGTGCTCATATATAGCCCTTCTTTGGAAACTCATGTCCATCATTTGGAAACAGCCCTGAAATGTTTACTGGACAAATCATTTTTTGTCAAATTGAGCAAATGTGAATTTGGTGTCAATGAGATATCTTACTTGGGTCATGTGGTAACTACTGAAGGTGTTAAGGCAGATTACAAAAAAAATTCAGCAATGCTAGAGTGGCCTATTCCTCGGTCAATTAAATAACTTCGTGCCTTCTTGGGTCTTACGGGTTATTATAGACGTTTTGTTCAAGGGTATGCTTCATTGGCTCATCCATTGACAGAGTTATTGAAAAAGGACAAGTTCCATTGGTGTCCAGAGGCAACAGATGCATTTCAATCACTTAAGGTTGCCATGTCTTCCACACCAATCCTATGTTTACCAGATTTTACTTCTCTTTTTATAGTTGAGTCTGATGCTTCTAATGTGGGTGTGGATGTTGTTCTATTGCAAGGGGGCAGACCGATATCTTTTTTTAGCAAGAAACTGGGTCCAAGAATGGCTGCATCTTCAGCTTATGTTAGGGAGCTATATGCCATCACCGAAGCTATCAAGAGGAGGAGGCACTATTTGTTGGGGTCTCATTTTGTCATCAAAACTGATCATCAAAGCCTAAGGGAATTATTGAAGCAAAATATTCAAACAGCGGATCAGCAAAAATATGCGTACAAATTGATGGGATATAATTTTACCATTGAGTACAAATTTGGGGCATCTAATGTGGTAGCAGATGCACTCTCTAGACAATTTCCAGATGAGGAAGTGGCTGTTTGTTGTGCCCTGCGTTCAGAACCTAAACTGGACATTTGGCTTCAAATCAAATCAGAAAATCTTACTGATCCGGAATTATTAGAAATTCACCAAGGCTTAGATGATGGGTCCAGTTCTGATCCGGATTTGTTTAGGAAAGATGGAATGCTATTCTTTAAAAACAGATGCATGTTGGGATCCAAATCAGCTTTAAAAGAAGTGTTGTTGATCGAAGCTCATTGCACTCCTTTAGGAGGACATGCTGGAATTCAGCGTACTTTTCTGCGTTTGTCAACTTCTTTCACTTGGAAGTCTATGCGCAAGGATGTGGAAAAATTTATTAAAGAGTGCATCATCTGCCAACAGATTAAACACACTACTCAGGTGCCATTTGGTATATTACAACCATTACCAATTCCTAATGCTATATTTGATGATTAAACTTTAGATTTCATCACTGCTCTACACTTGTCACATGGCTATTCTACTATATTAGTTGTAGTGGACCGTTTGTCCAAATATGCTCATTTTGGACCATTACAAGCGATTGTGGCTCATCTTTTTTGTGAAATGGTTGTTAAATTGCATGGGTTTCCTAAGTCCTTGGTGTCGGATACAGATCCGGTGTTTATGAGTAAATTTTGGCGCCAACTTTTTCAATTAAGTGGTACCAAATTACATGCTACTTCTTCGTATCATCCGCAATCTGATGGCCAATTGGAGGTGACCAATAGATATCTTGAGAAATATTTACGTGCTTTTTGCCATGATCAAAACAGCCGCTGGTTTCACTTCTTAGGATGAGCTGAACTACATTATAACACTTCAGTCCATTCTTCTATAAATATGTCTCCTTTTCAGACTGTATATGGGAAGTGTCCTACATTAATTCCCCATTATAATAAGGAGGATGTGAAGTTGGAAGCCGTTGACACCATGTTACAAGACAGAGAGGTTGTTATAAATCAACTTAAAATGCAGTTGCAGAGAGCACAACAGGGGATGAAGGATAAGACTGATCGTCATCGTCAAGAAAGAATGTTTAATGTAGGTGATAAGGTTCTCATAAAACTGCAGCCTTATAGGCAGATTTCTGTAGCTAGAAGAGCAAATCACAAGTTGGCAAAAAGATATTTTGGACCTTTTATTGTGGAACAAGTGATTAGTTCGGTAGCTTACAAAGTTACATTACCAGAGGGGAGTTTAATACATCCTGTATTTCATGTCTCATTATTGAAACCATTTCATGGTTCTTCAGATATCAGTCATGAATCTCTACCTGTAAGGAGAGTTGACAGCAAACCCTTACAGGTACCTGTTGCTATATTGGCATCCAGACAACATACATCATGCGGGGAAGTAGGACTCCAATATTTGGTGCAATGGTCTGCTTCGGTACCTGAAAATGCTTCTTGGGAAAATGCTAAGGAATTATGTCAAGCTTATCCACACCTTGAGAACAAGGTGGCTGTTCAAGGGAGGGCTGTTGATACGGGTAGCACAACATTAAAAGGGAGACCTTGCAGGATTAAGGGCTTTCCTTCTTGGGCCATTGACCATGCTCAATAATTGTTGTAGCCCAATGTGTATAGAGATAGTTAGTACTATTCTGATAGGCAATAATTGTTGTAGCCCAATGTGTATAGAGATAGTTAGTACTATTCTGATAGGCAATAATTGTTGTAGCCCAATGTGTATAGAAAGGGGTAGTTACTATTCTGATAAGCATACTGGTATACAGGTGGCCATGTAATAGTCTGTAATAAGGACACATAGGAGTAAGGTGTCATTGGGATATAAAGACACCTGTTAGTTACTGTATCGATTATTTTTGCAAAATAATAAATCATTGATTTTCTCTCCCATTTTATACATACAAGTTCGCGTCTTGTATCAAAATGCATGCCATAGTTTGGCATGGCCTCAACACCTTCAACAGAATTAGCCCCTTTATTTATTTCTTCTGCTAATCTCTCCACATGCCTGTACATTGAGTAGTACCAGTCAAAGTAATGAATTTTTTTTCATTTTGCGAAGAATGACGATCAGAAATGAATTAACACAATTCCCTTTTTCTTTTCCTCTTAATGTTCGATGACCCAGAAAAATGAAGTTATTGATAAAAAAGTCTACTCTTAGAAATGAAGGTCCGAAGTTATCGACCAAACAATCTACACTACATTATGTAATAATCTTATTTCTAAGTATAGACTACATAACCAAGAAGTCATTTTCATATATAATAATTTTTCTTTAAAAATTCTTTAGGGGTGGGGGCCACCTAGACCATGTAGGTCCGCCCTTGGCTCCTTAGTTATTAAAACTGGACCGACCCAGCCGGGTCGACCCGAGAACTAGTAAACCGGTTATATAATCGGTTTGGTTGAAGCAACGGACCGACCATGCATCAGAACTGGTGCAACCCGGTCCGATCCGGCCGGTTTTCATAAAAATCAGTGACCGGGTCGGTTAACCGATGACCCGGTCCGGTCAAAAAAAAAAAAATTCCAAATTTTTGTTTTTAAAAAAAAATCATAATAGCCATATTTGAATATTTTTTTGCTTATTGACTTACATAAGTTATGTACTTACAACACAAATATTATCTCAATTATGTACTATGCATAAATTTTTTAATTAATTTATAGTTAGAGATGTGTTTTATGAACCTAAAGTCCTGTATCACGATCGTTATATTTTTGTTTGATTTTTATTTGATAATAATATGTGATTTATTATTTTTTGTATTAAAATATTTGAAATTTTTATCATTTTTTTTAAATATTTGAGTATGTTTATAATTTTTAATATAAATTATAAAATTGCATATAATTACCGGGTCATACGGTTGAACCAGTGACTCACTGATTGAACCAGTGACCCGGTACCTCGACCGGGTCAATGATCGGGTCAGTTTTAATAACATTGCTCATGACTTCCTAAGATTTAACAATTTTAAACTCTAGCTAATTAAAAAAAAAATTCTATATTTTGTGGCTATTTTTTCTCATAAGTCGTACTCCATAGGAACCAAATTCTATATAGCTGTGTGAGGCAGGGAAACAAAGCAAAGGGGATTGTTGTATGGTTTGCATGTGTTGGGTTTAGGAACAAGACAAGGAAAGCACGCGTAGCATAGTTTTTTATATTTGAATTTGATGAGCTTGGTTTGCCAATGCAAAAGTGGGCACCACAGCACAACTCACCGCCACTTTCTCCGTTGTTTGGATTCAACAAACCAAGAAAGGTCGTCCTCGTGCCTCGTGGATTGGAGTGAACTCTGAAGGTTGTTGTGTACTTGCTGCGCAGGTTAGAAACGAGAATGCTATGCGTATACTAATAATGCAGCAAGCATTATTCAGAAGAGAAAGCACCATGTATATATATGGTCCCCCTTTCCATAATGTGGAAAGTGGAATCCCCACTCTCCTTTTTCTTTTGACACTTGTAACCCTCGCATAACTTTTTCTACGATACCACAATAAATAAATAAATAATATCTTTTGTTAAAAAATGGTTAATTAATATGAAAGAGTTGGGATGCCTTTTAAGAGAAGTAAAGTATCGATACTCTCTATACATGTTACATTTAATGCAAGGTTAATTAATATGGTTAGATTTAGATTCCATTAATTTTTTTTAACACCACTGACGTTTCTCTTACTTACATTTTGAAAACCTATGTTTAGATATTGGAAATTAAACTATTACTTTTTAATGTATACTTTTTGAAGCATTTTTTAGTGTGTGAATTGACAATTACATTAGCTGGTGCTTTAATTGCCTTATTTATCCTTATCGAATGCATTATCAATCATTCAAATTTAAGGTCACTTTTGCATATTAATGGAGGTTAAACTAAATCATATAAAACAAGTAAAGAAATAAACTCCACATGTTATTATTATTATTATTATTATTATTTTACTCAGATGTTATTTCCAGGACTACTAAAAAATACTGTTACATTATTGTGCTATTAAATATGAAAGAGAAGTACCCACAATTTAGCATGTATTTTTAAGGCAGAAAAGAAACCATACTTGACATGCATCCTCTCATATCATGTGAAGCTATTTATGTAGAAGTCTGAAACACCTCTTCCCTCAATCCCATGTGTGTGTTGTATAATTGAGTTAGTGAAACAAATATCAAACCAAATACACTTAAATACATTAGCCATCTAGAAAAATAACGTTTTATGATCTCATATACTAAAATGTAAAATTAGCAAATTTATGAAAGTTAACCATATATATTAACTCAAAATTCTGGAAAAATAATAATTGAATGAATGAAAAATGTGATTCCTCTAAGTTTGAGATATGAGAGTTCCCATTTATGATCTACTTAGTTAAAAAAAATTGCAAGAATTTTTGACTTTAGAAGCATTACTATCAATTATTGAACTTTTGTTTTTTGATAAATCTTATTTTTTATTCCTTAACAATTAAAAAGCTCTTATTATATTCCCTGGTTCTGCTACTACCTTGAAAGTGAAAGAGCAATGAAGTCGCAGAAACACAGTTAAAACGTATTTAATTTTCACAACTTCCAACCCCAACAACTTCCCCAATATTCTTAACTTTCTTCCTATTCTTTCTTCCCTCTCAAACCCTAGAAACAGCAAAATCACTTTTCTGATGCTAATGGGATCAACCCCCCAACTCTAGAGCCAAGTCCAGCAAGATTCAGCTCATACCCACTTCAATTATGGCATCATTTTCCACTTCCCACCACTTCACAGCCTTAACCTTCCTCATTTTGTTCCTCAAAACCCAAGCTTTTGACCCAATTTCATCCTTTTCCTTCACAGATTTTGAAAAAGATCCAATATTTAAGTCAAGTGTGGCACTTTATGGCAATGCAAAGGTTGTCAATGGCGGTTCTGAAGTCCTTCTTTCTGGGTATGGGAATTCAGGCAGTGGGAAAGTCATGTACAAGAAACCCATCAAGATTGTTGAAGGTAAAGCAAGTGGATTAGTCTCATTTTCAACCTACTTTGCATTTTCGATGTCCATGGATGATGGGGATGGCTTGGCTTTTGTTTTGGTTCCAAGTGGTGTTGAAGGTGAGGTTTTTGATAATAGTTCATCTGCGCTTTCTTTTGGATTGAAGGATAGGAAATTTAAGGTTATTGGTGTTCAGTTTAGTGCTTCAAGGGATGGTAGAAATGGGGGTTCAGCTAGTTGTAATGTGGCCATTAATGTTGGTAGTTCTGTTCCTGCTAAAATAATCAATACCTCCTCTGCCAATTTGGGTCTAAGAAGTGGGGGAAAACTGCATGCTTGGATTGATTATGAAGCGAGTTCAAGGCGCTTAGAAGTGAGGTTGAGTCAATATGGTCATTCAAGGCCATCTGATCCATTGCTCTGGCACTCAATTGACTTCTCAAATGTGTGGGAAGCCAAAGAGATGTTTGCAGGCTTTAGTCCAGTGAAGGGGAATACTTCTCAATCATGTTTTCTCTATTCATGGAGCTTTATTGTAAGGCATTTTCCACATTGGATGCATTCTGAGCCTTTGGATCCGAAGGTCCTTGTTAAGAACACTGAAACTCCAGTAGTGAAACCAAGGAGTGATTGCTTTTTAAGAATTCTTGCTGCAATGATATTTGGTGCTGGATGTGGAGCATTGGCAGCATTCATTGTGCTTTATTTGTGGACCATCTTTGGTAATAGGCGTCCCGTGATGCCGGAGGAGTACGTTATGCAGCCTGTAGATTTCGAGTACAAGAAAGTCAACATTGTTGTAGATAAAACCATTAAAGATGCTAAGGAGTAGATCTACAGGAGGGAACTAGTTGGACGCTTGTGTTGTAAATCAGTGTTGTATTCAGGTTTTGCTTTGTTGTAGTTTGGCAAAGAACTATTTAATTTACTTTTTTCCTATGTCAATGTCTATTTTGAGCGAATTGAGATTGAGATCCAAACTCTGTATTGAAGATTGAATAGCTTACTTTTTATTTTGAAACACAAACAAATTTAAGTTATTGATATATTATATGATGTTGTTTACACAGTTTTTATTTTAGGATGATGGCAATTAAACACAATCAGTCTGTATATTGAATATTGAGTGGCTTATAGTAACAATGTAGATTGGTCTCAATTGTTTGACACTTGTGTCACTGTCTACTGTAAGGAACTCAAATGTAAGAAAGGATAATATTATACATAAAGATAAAGTTAGAATTATAGATGTGGATAGTTATTATCTCAGGCTAATGAAGTTAGAATTATTCTGTATTTCCTTTTAATTATTATTTCCCATTTTTCTAACATTAGATTAACTTTAAAAAAATAAAAATAACTGTCTCGAGCATTGGTTTCCATAAAAGGAGCAGCCATGGAAGGAGCATCAGTGTTATGCATATCGTGGTCTTAAGTCTTAAATGATACTTTGTCCGTGAAATTGCAACATATTTGGATTTGGATCAAGTCTTCATTTCATTTTAGGTTTCTCAAATACACCAACATTTCTATCCTCTTTCATTATTGATCTTGTCCTTCATTCTTCCAGTAAAACTAATATTTAGCAGTGAGAGAAACACATAGCTGTCTCATTGACTGGAACTTTGATTAGTTTGCGCACTCTGCTATGTTTTACTAATATTATAGCACTAATGTTGTTAGGGTGTTTGGTTTATAGGCATCTTTCAATCATGATCTCTGGCACTCTGCATTTAGTTGAGTGTTTCTGCAATGAAAGGATCAAGCATCTGATAAGGTGCTACTGCAGCAGATGCTTCTAGCAATGATACAGACTTCATCTCGTTCATTTATGGAATATCAAGCATTTTTTCCTCTATTTCACATCTCATGGTTTGTTATCTTAAATTTTTAGCATATTCTTAAGGGCTTGGCTGAGCTTGTGCACTCCATTTGCCTTGTATACGTGCTTGCAGAAGAGTAATTGAATCTGCTTGCAATGATCCTCTTACTGAGGTCAGTTCTTGTAAGTTTTATAATTCTTCAGTGAGTTAAAGTTGTTGTGTGTACACCACCACCACCAACAACAAAGCCTTTTTCCTGCTAGGTGTGGTTGGCTATACAATTAATTTTTGTTAATTATTGTTTGCTATTATTGTAAAAATTTCTTTGCAATAATATAACACATACTACGTATGTTTCTGTTTTGTGTGGTTGATCTCGTTGGTTAATTGCAGACCACAGTAACTTACCCTTGTCAAGCATTTGTAGCACATTCCCTTTACAACAAAATTTTGCTGATATTATGCTCATTTAAGTACTTTCTGTTTCCTGGTTTTTCAGAGGCTATTTTGTTGCCTTTATCAGTGAACAGGAGCTGATTTGAATGAGAATTATGATACATTCATTGTCAATAAAAGTGTGTTTTATCTTCAACTTCAATGGGCTGGTTTTTCAATGCTACTTGGAATACTAGTGAGTGATAAGTGATGTATGTTATTGTTTATGGTAATAATCCTTTTTTTTTTCTGCTGTTAATTCCAAAAGCAGGCTTAGGCTTAGGCTTAGAGGGCTTCGGCAATCTTCTTGCTTGTCCTATAGACAAAAATATTCCACTTCGAATTTTGTGGTATGGAGTATATCATGCTTTTATTTTTCATAATCTAGTAATGCTTTGACTGAGGTAATTTCTGAAGGTTCATACATAAATATTTTTTTATCCTTTGCAGGCATTTCATAATAAGTATTTCGCATTATGAAAGACATGAAGACACCTCTTTTGCCAGCAATGCTTTGTGTTTGCCTGGGATGCATCAATATATCTTGTTTATGCGTTTTCAATGACTCTGCAACTCCTGCTTTTATTTGAAACGACAATATTGATTACATTCTCGTATAAAAAAAAACAAAGAACTAAAAACAAAAAACCAGAGCAGAGCCCATGTATATGAAAATGAAACAGTTTGGTCTTATTATAATATTATTACACATGTAATTAGTTGGTTGAGTTTGATTAGTTGGTGAGTAGTTAGTTTGTAAGTTAGTGATTGGTACCATGTTTTCCAACAATTATTAAAAGTAAAACATTGCTCGCTGGCCTGCTGCTGGAATCTGAACTGCCTCACATATTTGTTGCACTTTCAGAAACAGCTCATTGCTTATGGCAATTCAAGAGACATAGCCCATGAGCTTGCCATAATTTGGAGGAAATTTAGCGGACATTTTGCATATTTAAGGGTGACGTTAGTTTGTAAAAATATCTTTTATTTTCATTAATTTTAAAAAAATGTCACCTTATTTTTACTTTATTTCTTATTTTGGTGTGCTAATGTGGTATTGTTTTATTGTACAACTCTCTACTTCTAAAATTTGTAAAAATATCTTTTATTTTCATTAATTTTAAAAAAAAAGTCACCTTATTTTTACTTTATTTCTTATTTTGAAGTGCTGATGTGGTATTCTTGGGAAATTTTTAGGGGACAGAGGATGTGCCTCCCTCCTCGAATGGGGGAATTAGTCTAATCTTTTCTCCGATAGCAAAAATCAATGTACCCGCTGTTCCAATGAGGGGCTAGCCTACAGGGCCGTATCCCAAGGACAAGGTGATCGGAAGAAGTTGAATGGAGATACCTTCAAATTATACCAAAAAAGAAAAGAAAAAGAAAATACTAATATCATGTTATAAAAGAATAATATCTCATATTATAGACACAAAGCACATAAAATTATTGTGAAGTTCACTCCTACATCAGGAGACTAATATTTCTCAAAGAGAAAACTACCAAAACTCATACCCATCATCTATGTAGCACCGATACCAACACGGAACACGTGACACGATACGACACGACGATACATTAATTCTAAAAATGGTTAGATTTCGACATGTTAGGAAACGTTTTGATATTAAATAATATTTTTAATTTATGTAGTGTATATTATATTTAATATTCAATAATTTAACAAAAAAAATGAATCTAAACTTATAATATTCATAAATTTTGTAAAGAAACATAAGATATCCTAAATATTTATATTAAACTCAATAAAATGGTAATCGTAATATAACAAATCTAATAGTTGAAACTAAAAATTCAACGCAACGCAATCTTTAAACCTTTTTTTGAATTTCTATAACGTGTGTTGGAGTATCGAAAAGTGTCGGACACGACACGTCAAGATTTTTAAAGTGTCGGTGCTTTATAGACCATCATCTCTATTTTTAGCAAAAATATAAAAGGTATTACTATAAATTTTATATTATTTTATCAGTAAATCAATTAACTTTTTAATACTTTGAATTGATGGTAAATTAATTAACAACGCAACAAATTGATGGTAAAACAATTTACAACACATTAAACATTCCTGAGCGTGTTTAGTAGAGGAAAAATTAATATGTTCGGCGGGAATGTTACCACCCTTTTTTAGTGATATTCTTGAATAGCATTTTGGTTCAAAAAACTTCATTAAAATTTTTTCAAAAAAATTCTAACAATATGGACAAATAAGATTACCGATATTAATTTTCGGAAAATCCAAAATTTTTCCATATACCAAACAATGTAAAACAATATTAGAAGGGACAGATTATATTTACAAACTTTTTTATTTACAAAAAACACTAAGTACGACCAGTCATACTTTAATCATGCACTAGTCATACTTTAATCATGCAATGTAGAACCGAGAGTACTTAGTGTAATTTTGTAAAAAAATATTTGTAAACGGATAACATATACCTGTACAGCAGAAGCCCAGGTATTAACATGAACTCAAATTGAACAGATACAAAAGGCACCACTCAAAAAGATAAGAAGAAATTCTCAGTTTCAAACCTATTGCTTATGAAAACAATCAATACCCATGTGAAAAGCCAGAAGTTCTATCAGAGAACGAAATCAAATCAGAAAACCCAGTCCAGATCAAGCTAACAAATGCTACAGAACAGTTACAAATAATCTTCTTTTCCCTAAGATTTGAGCTTCCTTTATAGATTCACATGGTATTGGACTAAAGCTGTTTAAAAAATGCACATTCAATAAGAAGATAAATGGATCTCAGCATGTTAAAGTTATCTTCAATTCCCATAACAGGTCTCAGATAGATAACGCAGTTTATCAATAACATCACCGATCCATATATATAACCAGCCAGAAATAAAATATTTAAAAAAAAAATCAATTTTTTTGTCAATAGATAAAAAAGCTGAGATTTTTAGACTAAGGAAGTATAAAAAGAGAGATTGAATAAAGAGCATCTCAGAGTAATCATTCCCCAAAATCTTCTTCATTGGTAATCAAAGTGCAAGGATAACAAGTTGGAATTGCTCATCACTGATGCTCGTAGAACAGAGAATAACATTTGACGATGATTGAAACTTGAACTGAGAGAATAACCTTTGAGGACAATTGAAACTTGAAACAGGGCATAGCAAGTTTCAACCTAGCGGCTGATGAAGGGGACAAGGTTTCTAGGGTAAAATCTCCCTGAATCATCTCTGAGAATTTATAGAATCTTGTGGAACCCTAGGGGTGCAGTTTGGAAACTCGGTTAGTGTATTCCCTTTCAAGCCATGAGCAATATAAGCTAACTCTCAAATGGGTTTTAAAGTTTAAATCAAAATTTTTATTATTATTATTGTATCCCAAAAAAAAAGAAAAAAGAAAAAAGAAAAAAGAGAAAAATCTATTTTATGTATTAAATATAATAATAAAAATATGGATTTATTTTTTCTTCTGTCAATATAAATAAGTTATCTACATTAAGTGCAAAGCGATGTCATTCTGGGGCAAAAATTAAAATATTTTTGTAATTATAATTTATTTCAGAGTTATAATAATCTTTTTCATTATAATTTTTTAATCTTTGAACCCAAAACAACGTCGTTTTAGGAGTAAATATAGATAACTTATTTACATTTACTGTAGAAACGTTAAAGCCTAAAAATATTATAACAAACATAATTATAGTTTCAGAAAAATATTTCTGCAGTTACTGCATATAAGTTATTTGCATTTATTCTCAAAATGACATCATTTTAGGATTGAAAGATTAAAAAATTATAATCATAAAGACTATAATAACCCTAAAATAAATTAAAATTACAAAAATACAACGATTTCCGCCCCTCGACGACGTGATTAGGTTGGTTGTAAATGTTGTAAACTTTTTTGGTGGTAAGTATATCCTGCCCCATAGTTTAATGGATAATGTTATCAGAAAAATATTTCTGCACTTACTGCAGATAAGTCATCTCAAAGCGACATCGTTTTGGGATTGAAAGATTAAAAAATTATAATTATAAAGACTATAATAACCCTAAAATAAATTAAAATTACAAAAATACCATAATTTCCACCTTAAAGTGATGTCATATTGAGTTTATTGCAGATAATTTATTTGCAGTGACTGCAGAAAAAATAAACCTAATGTTATATGTATTATTTTATAAAACAGGTGTTTGAATCTTATGTAAATAATTATTGTAAAAGTTACAATATTTTCACGAAATTTCAAAAGAAAAAATGTTTGTCATTTTAAATAACGTAAAATTATGTCATTTTAGGATAGAGATAGACACAAAATAAATTTTTTATTTAAAATTTAAATTAAAAAAACCATCCACTTTCTCTCTCCCATGATTTCCATTTCTTATGTTTATCTCTCTCTTAAAATGACATAACTTATATCATTTAAAATAACAAACATCATGTTATCAAAAAAATAAAAAAATAACAAACATCAAACCCAATTTCAAAAACTGATTTAATTCAAAATTAAAACAGGTTCAACCTGATTTAAAATGGATACATAAATTTTCGGACTGGCATGGCTTTTTCGACAATGGACTTTTAGTTACTAATGAAATTTGGACCTTTCTTGAAACTAATATTTCTATTTTCTGGCAAAAGTTCAAAAACTTAATGTGATTTGCTCTTTTATTATTTTTTCTATCGTTTTTTTCTTGTCACTTATTTTTCATATATATTTTTTCATCCAAATCCACATTTAACAGCATTAGTAATTGAATTAAATTACTAGTCTATCATTCAAATTTTGGTCAAAACTACTAAATTATCAAAGGCAATTTGTTGTTAGTGACCAAGATTTTTGTGTTAGACTAATAACTTTTTATACCGGTAAAACACGGGCGAAATGGATGAATTATTTCAATTGCCAATGGTGTTAAAGGTGGATTTAGAATGAAAAAATCATAGGAAAAATAAGTGATAATAAAAAAAGCATAGAAGGGTAAATGATAAAAGAGTGAATCAAATGAGAGTTTTTAAAGTTTTCCCTTAAAAAATTTATCCCGCTCCAATGTTATTTACTAAAATATATTTTATCATGTGCTAAAGAAGTTGATTTGAGAAAAACGAACTTAAGATAATTGATTTGAGAAAAATAGTTGAGGATAAAAAGGATTAAAAGAAGTCAATATTAGGGAACTGAAAAGAGGTCAAAATTTTGCAGGTAAATTACATATTTTCTCTTTAAAAAATATATATAGATTACAGAAAGTTGACTTTGATTTATAATTTTGAAAAAAGGAGCAATTTATCCAAGGTAAAAGTAACCGTGAAATTTGTTGACTCGTGAACTTGTGTTGTGTAGGCTAGGATTTTTTATTTTAAATCAGAAGTTCTAAGATGGCTTTTAATGGAATCAGCTCTGATCAAAGCAATTGAATTGTCTGTGTTAGGAGGCCTTGTATTTTTTTTTTTTTTGATACACGAGGCCTTGTATTTGTAGACTTGAACCTATTATTCATTACCACAATGGAGACTAGAATTAATCAAATAAAGCATGAATGAAGCAGACATCATTTAAGTTTTTATGAAACAAGCTAGAATTCGTACTAGATGATGATTTTTTATGAATGGAAGGTGCATTACAGGCCATAATACTATGCTGAAAGTTATATATGATCAACCAAAAACCAACAAGATTATTACCATTAAGCTGCCAAGGAAGATAGACAGTAAAGTACACTATACTGGATAAAGTGTATTAATCACGTTAGTAAGGATGGGTTAGGCGCGTACTTCCACGCGCGCGAAAAAATTCACTTCTGCTAGGGTTTCGACATCAAAGTTTTCTGGAATTTTAATGGAGGAAGCGATCATCACTAATGGTCTGTCAATGGCGAGAAAGAGCACCAAAAGAGCTAAGAGTGGGGATGAAATTCCAACGGAGTTACGCATGCGAGAATCGGTAAAGGATTATCAAGCCGATTCTTCTTTGAAGGCTAAACAAAGATCCTTTGCTGAGGTCACGGGAGAGGAGAACGGAGTAGCAGGAGATACACTTCCATGGTTAATTGAGGAAAAAGCTCTAGACCTGGAACCTCTGGACCCAAGTTTGGGTGAAATTTCAGAATGGGGCTTTCAAACGATTATCAGGGAGGATGGATCGGTGGAAATAAGGAGTAATAGTGAAGCCAGAGCAAGGATGAGGCAACGTTGGAAGAATGCTCTGATAGTTAAACTTCTGGGCAAGAATATTGGAGTGGGTTTCATGAAGAAGAGACTAGAATCTCTTTGGGCAAAGGCAGGAAGTATTACGGTAGCAGATCTTGGGAACAAGTTCTTCTCAGTGAGATTCAGTAGCTTAGAAGATCTTAATCTAGCCATCACTGGTGGTCCTTGGGTTATTCTAGGGGACTACCTTGCCACTAGAAAATGGGAACCATGCTTTGATCCGGACAAAGCTAACATCCACAAGGTGGCAGCCTGGGTCCGTCTTCCAGTTATCCCTCAAGAATATTGTGAGTTTCCTTTTCTCAACCATCTGGGAACTGTGATTGGGAAAGTTCTCAAAGTAGATAGAACCACATCTACTGGAGACAGAGCTCGATTTGCTAGAGTATGTATTGAGATTGATCTTTCTAAACCATTGAGAGGTGAATATATCCTTGATGGTTGTAGGAAGAGAGTGGAATATGAAGGCCTTTTCTTGATTTGTCTCAAATGTGGAAGGTATTAGCACAATTCGGATTCCTGTCCTGATTATGTCAAACCTGCATCCTCGGCTAAACCTGAGAAAACCCCTGAACAACCTGTGGAGAGACCTGACAATCAAGGTGTGGGCTCTTGGATGGTGGTCCAGCGCAGGAAAAAGAACCAGCAATACTTCCAGAAAAAAGATTCTGTCAATGGCAGGAGCTTTGGTGAAGATATTTCCAACGGGAAGAATTTGAAGGGGTCAAGGACAAATCCTAGAGTAGAGAAGTGTTCTCACGAAACTAACTCTGGAAAGTTACCAGGATTAGTCAATTCATTGACAAAAGTGAATAAGGAGAATGAGGCTTTAAAGAACATAGTTCATTCCCCTGTTTTAGGAATGAACTTCACGGCAGTAGCAACTAGTCAAAGTAAGAAGGATTCTGGGAATAAGCCTCCCATGTCAGTAAACAAGAAACCTTCCTCTAAGAATCAAAATGCTAAAGGAAAAGGAGTTATCCAGAATACTCCTTCTACTATTGCCTTGGGTAGTAGCTCTTTGGTTCAGAATGACAATGGTAAAGCTCCCCAGATTATTCTGGAGCAACAGAAAGGAAAACTTTGGGGGGACTTGATGATGGTGGTTGAGAGCTCCACGGAAGAGGTCAACTCTGATCTCCTTAGCAAGAATATGTCAGCTGTTAATTTGGTCATGAATGAGGCAGTGGAAATTCCTGATCCACCTGACCAAGACATGAGAGAGGTTTCTAAGGTGGGTGAAGTCCAGGCAGGTATGGAATTTGAATTACCTTTGGGTAACTCAATGATCAATTCTATGAATGTTGATTGTGGGGTAATCTGTGATGAAGAGATCTCTGAATTAAGGGAATCTGGTTTTGTTAATCATGAATTAAGTAGCAAGAACTTAGAAATCTTGCAACCAATTCAGAATTCATTATGAATATTATTACCTGGAATTGTAGAGGTGCTGCCAAAAAACAATTTAAGGGCACCTTTAACAGATACTGTAGGAAGCATGATGTTAGAGTGGCTGCTATTTTAGAGCCTAGAGTTAGTGGCAATAAAGCTACTAATATAATTCATAGCTTTGGTTTTTCTAATCATTTAATTGCAGATGCTCATGGCTTTGCTGGTGGCATCTGGATTTTGTGGAATAACAGAGATGTTAAGGTTACTCTAATGAATAAACAAGATCAGTTTATACATTGCTGAGTTGAATTTCCTGAAATGAAGGGGTTTTTTTGGACGGCTGTGTATGCTAGTCCTCAGGAAGATACTCGTCAAGTGCTTTGGGAGGAGTTGAAGCACATTGGCAGAAATATGAATGATCCTTGGTTGTTAACTGGGGACTTCAATGAAATAGCTCTGGCTTCAGAAAAAAGAGGTGGAGGGCCTATGATTTGAATAGATGTAACCGATTTGCTAATGTCCTTAATGCTTATGGGGTGATGGATTTGGGAGGTGGAGGTAACAGATTCACTTGGAAAGGCCCAAAATTCCTCCAATTAGATAGAGTATTTAAAAGGCTGGATAGAGCAGTTAGTAATGATGACTAGAGAGCCTCTTTTGAAGAAGCTGATGTTCTAGTCCTTCCTAGACTGTTCTCTGATCATTGTCCAATTCTGGTTAGAATGACTAAGGAAGAATTTTGCTGGAGGGAGAGGCCATTCAGATTCCTGGCGACTTGGCAAAATGATGTCAGATTTATAGCTTTTCTGAAGGAAAATTGGAATCCTACTGATGGTTTATTGATCAGCTTAAATTCTCTTGTTCCTCTATTAAAGGAATGGAATAAGAATATCTTTGGCTTCACTCATCATAGCAAAAACAGGGTTATTGCAATGGCTTCACTCATCATAGAAAAAACAGGGTTATTGCAAGGATGAAGGGTATTCAAAATCAGATGAGTTCTTCTAACAGTTACCATCTGGAAAAACTGGAAGCTGAATTGAAGAAGGAACTATCTGATATCCTTGATTAGGAAGAACAGATTTGGTTCCAAAAATCTAGAGGTGATTGGATAAGAGATGGAGACAGAAATACTAGGTTTTACCATACTAGTACTATTATCCGGAGAAAAAGAAATAAAATCTTGAAGCTTCAGGATGATTTTGGGCATTGGGTGACTGGAGAGGAGGAACTTATCAGTTTAGCTAGAACTTTCTTCCAGAATCTCTTTAAAGAATATTATGAAGAAACCAAGTGGTATCAAACTAATAATTCTTGGCCTGCTATAAGGGAGGAACAAATTAGTAATCTGTCTATGAATATCTCTCTTGAGGAAGTGAAGAGGGCCTTTTTCCAAATGCCTTCTTTGAGATCCCCTGGAGTAGATGGGTTTCCAGCCTTGTTTTACCAAAGAAATTGGGAGATCCTCAAAGATCAAGTATATAACAGTATGCAGTTTTACTTACAAAACCCAAGTCAGATTGGTAAGCTTAACCATACTCTTATTGTGCTGATTCCCAAAGTTGAAAGACCTTGTTTGATAAAACAATTCAGGCCTATAGCTCTTTGCAACACTGTTTACAAAGGTCTTAGCAAAATTCTTGCTAACAGAATCAAACCCCTTCTAATGGAGCTTATTTCCCCAAACCAGGCCAGTCTTGTCCCTAAGAGGCATATTCAGGACAATATTATTATTGCTCAAGAACTCATCCATTATATGCATAGGATGAAGGGGAAAAAGAGTTTCCTATCTATTAAGATTGATTTAGAAAAAGCGTATGATAAACTTAGCTGGAAGTTCATCAGATCAGTTTTAGAAGAGTTGAAGTTCCTTGGGGATTTAACTGAAGCTATCATGGGTTGTGTGTCTAGCCCTGTTTTAGAAGTTCTTTGGAATGGAGCCAGAACTCCTAGCTTTCAATCTCAAAGGGGAATTAGACAAGGGGATCCTTTATCCCCTTATCTATTTATCCTCTGTATGGAGAAATTAACCCACTTAATCATGGATGAAGTGGAAGTTGGTAACTGGCTGCCAATTAAAGTGGGTAAATCTGGCCCTCCTTTGTCTCATATTATGTTTGCTGATGACATTATCATTTTTGCATAAGCTTCTTTAAGTCAGCTCAGTTGTATTGTTCATTGCCTTGATAAGTTTTCAAAGATGTCTGGACAAAGTGTAAGCATAGAAAAATCATGCATTTATTTCTCTAAGAATGCTTCTCAGGAAATTATGAAGTCCATTACTGATGTTAGTGGATTCAAGAAGGTTGACAACCTGGGTAGGTACTTGGGTTCTATGATGAGACATGGTAGAATCAAGAAGGATCATTATGCTGAGGTTATTTTTAGAGTCCAGAATAAGCTTCAAGGCTGGAAATCTAAATGCCTCTCTATGGCAGGCAGAATTACTTTAGCAAAAAGTGTTATCTTTGCCATACCTTGTTATCATATGCAAAATAATACTCTCCCTATTCATGTTTTCCAGGACATTGAAAAGCTACAAAGGAATTTTATTTGGGGAGATCAAGAGGCTAAAAGAAAAGTCCATTATGTTGCCTGGGAGACTATGTGTCAACCGAAGGAGTGTGGTGGACTTGGCATTATAAATCTTAGGATTCAGAATGAAGCTTTTATGCAGAAGTTGGCTTGGCATCTTATCAAAGATCAAAATAGTCTTTGGGCTCAGGTTTTGCTAGGAAAATATGGTAGGAATCATAATCTTAACCGTAGTTTAATAGCTAAAACCTGTGATTCAACCTTGTGGAAGAGCATCTGCTTAGCTCATTCTAAGATGTCTCAACATCTAGAGTGGGTAGTTATGAATGGCAAATCTGTTAGCTTCTGGACAGTGTTCTGGGGAGGATGGCAGAAAACTCTTTTTGATCTGGCTTCCTTCAAGCCTCCTTTGTCTGACTTGGAATTCAAAGTTTGGGATGTTGTTGATCCTAGTACTGATGACTGGAATTGGGAGTACCTGGTAAAGTTCTTGGATTCTTCCATTTGTAACAAGTTGAGTAATATCCCTCCCCAAAGTTCAGCAATTCAGAAGACTGGCTCAATTGGAAGATGATTAGACCAGGCAAATCTATAGTGAAGAATGCCTACTGCCACTTGATGAACTCCAATCTTGAAAAGGACATAATTTGGTCAGCTATATGGAAATGGAGAGGTCCTTTCAGAATTGCAGTTTTTTTGTGGTTAGCCTGCCTTAATAAGCTCCCAGTCAGGAGCATAACCTGCCATTGGAGTGGAGGGGAGGTAGTTTGTCCTACCTGTGGGTTGGGGCAGGAAATTTTGTTGCATACCCTTAAAGACTGCATAGTTGCTAGGAGCATTTGGGAGAGATGGTTTGGAGGCAATATTCCTATTAATTTCGTTTCTGCAGATGGAATAGAGTGGTTTAAAATTAATCTTTATAAACCATTCTCTTCTCATCTCTGGAAATCATGGAAGGAAATTTTCTTTGTGACATGCTGGCACTTATGGCAATGGAGGAACTCTACTGTTCATGATGATTCTTTTAATAAACCTCAAGATCCAATCCACAGGATACTGTGTTATCTGGCAGGTATGAAGAGAAATGGCAGTGCTGTTGCTTTCTCTATTGTGTCTGAATCTTCCATTTCATTTGGTGGGGCTGGTCAGGGGGGAGGACATGATGGTGTAAATCTTTTTTGTTGATGGCGCTGTTAACCAATCAACCTATATACGAGCTTGTGGGGGGTTTTGCTTGTTCTTGGAATGGTGCATGGATAAGTGGTTCTCTTACAATTTAGGTCCTTGTTCTCCCTTGGAATCTGAATTAAGAGGTATCCTTCAAGGTCTCAATCTTGCTGGTAATTTAGAGTTATCCAAGGTCTGGATTGGTTGTGACAGTAAGGAGGCCATTCTTTGTTTAGAAGCTGAATCTGGGTCTTATGGTTTGTCTGCATTAATTGAAAGGATCAAAAATACTGCTGACTGTTTTGATCAGTTCCAAGTGGAATTTATTCCTAGAGATTTTAATGTTGTTGCTGATAGTTTAGCTAAGTTTGGTTTAAGCTACAAGGGTGAAGAGTTGAGGGTGTTTTCCTCTCCCCCTGTTAGCATAGAATCCCTTTGGAACCAATTTTGTTTGAATTTGCTGATGGAGCAGGTGTCTGTTAGCATGCAGCTCCTGTCTGTGTAGTTTGTCTGGGCTTGGCCCTCCATTTATATAAAAAAAAAAAGTACACTATACTTGTAACGATTTGCTTTACTACTACTCTATGCTATATCACCAAGAAAGTGACCCAAACAAGCCAATGCATAATTGAAAGAAAACTCAAATATCAACAATAAAACTAAATACTCACCACTTGCACACTTGAATCTGGCCTTATTTCATAAATGTAACCTCATTGCTGTGATCCATACAAGCCAACGGGAAATATGGATAGAAACTCAGACATCTTGCTGATATATCCTATGATATAGAAACTCAGACACCCTCAAACCCAGACATCTCCATAACAAACAACGAAGAACTCACAAACATGTAGATAGAAAACAGTACAACTGCCCAACGCCGCCAAGAAGAGAATTTTCAACATTACAACTTCAGCCACTCCAAACAAGGACACAAGCCCCAACAATATCTAGACGGGTAATAATCCTTTAAGTACACCTCCCTGCTATATCCTATGATATAGAAACTGAAGGACCGCCGACGATGAGCCATAGTTACACGAGTTACTGGCACAACTGAGATTGTATGTCTCTCACATAAGACCCTTGCAGTGGCAGGTACTGGTGCTCTTTCTGCAATGACTTCAGAGGAAAACTCATTGAGAAAAAAAGAATCCGCGAAAAAGGCTGGTGTGCATTGGTAAGCCTGAGTGTTGCACAATTGAACCCCTTTGGATCTATGGAAAACCTCATCTGGTACTGATGCCGCTCCCTTAGTTGCATGTACTTTCCGAGTAGAAAGTGTCTTCCTGTAACACAGAGCACCCACACACACGTTATCATTTAGCATTGTCACCAAAAGGAATGAATATTAAGCATAACAACATCAAACTATGGAAAGATTGCATATTAGAGGTTGCACAAAACTAAAAAATGAATAATGTAAGTTTACAATATTTAATCTAATCTACAATAATTCTAATCACAGATTTGAATTCTGAGTAAGGGATTGAGAACTAATGCTTGAACATTAAACTATTACCCAGGCCTTGGACCCTAACTATTTGGAGTCACTACATGTACCTTCAAACTGGACAAAATCTTTACCATGGTTAAAAATGCTCCATTTTGTACAAACTCTGTATTTTGGTATTTCAGATGATGTAAATCATTTCCAATTCCTCACTTCTATCATCTATGGTATCTTGGCATGATTTTTTATTGTGTAAACTAGGACATAAGAATATTTATTTCAAACAAGTTCAAATCATCTTAGGACCCTCTCCTACAACCTTTCTTAATTAGATTTTGTATGTTGAGCGCATCTCAAAACCCCGTTAGACAACTCTCCCATCAAATAATTCAAAGATCTACTTCAGAGCTTTTCTTATCTTGTTTTACCAACATACACCTTCACATTCGCATCTTTTTACCTCTAACTATCTAGCCATATTCTTGGTCACCTCTCCTGTTGAGATACACTCTTTAAGCATGTACTTTTCCTCTCAATACCTACCTTTACCGTATTTAAAATTCCCTTGTTTTTGCAGACACTCATATTTTGGCGGAAAAAAAATATAGCACCATGAAAAAAAATTGAAAAATTGGAGGACGTAGGGCATAGAGCTAATAAATGCAGTATCTTATCAAGGACAATCCAAATAAGACAATTAGTACAAGTTTCTGCAGGAAAGTTACAAAATCTGCAAAATTGTAAATTTATTTACCTTCCCATATGAATAAGACAATCTTGCTACCAGACCCAAAGGCCCTGTTAATTTAAATTGATTTGAATAGCCGAAGTACATAATGTAGCAAATATTGATAAAAGTATTTAACCATAATTATGGATAAATCAAAGTTCATAATAACTGGTGATGCGATTCTCTCTAGAGAGACTTTTTGAATGCATATCACACTAGTTTAAACATTAAATATTTTTTTTAAGGGGATTTTGAAAATTACATAACCAACCAAATAAATTCCTCTAGAAAATTCCTTTAGGTAGGGACCATTGAAGCATGTTAATTAGGTGTCAGTTGTAACCATCAGTTATTAAAGATACAAAATTAGGAAATGTATGATTAGATGCTGGCAAGTTGACATACCATCTAATAATGGCCACATTTCGTTCTAGAAGAGAACCACTTCCACTGCATGTTGAACACTTAATTAGTCCACGAGATCCACAAGTCACACAAGGAATCTTTCCTTTACCATTACATTTGACACATCTGCAAGAAATTGTAACTTGAATAAGTAAATTACAAGTATAAATTTCCACCTTGACAGAAAGCAATGCAGCCTAGACATTTGACTTCAGCTTGAATTCATTAGTTAAATTTTATATTCTCTGTATTTCATTCTAGGAAAGTAGAGCAATCAATCAATGCTATGAAGAAGAAGGACAATGAAGTTTGACCATATGATAATTCTAGGAGCTTAAGTGATGTGCATCGTAGCTTTAACTATTTTCACCTATTCTGCATACGAACAAATAAAATACTCACACTGTGTCAGAACCATCTTTGTGAGCAATCAAACCCCTTCCATAACAGGTAGCACACTGAGTCATTTGGTTTTCTTTATAATATCCAGGTTCTTGGTTCGCATTACATGTAGCACAGACTATGCCTCCTCGGCCTGCACAAACTGAAAATAATTTCCAGGGTATTGTTAGGAGAGGTAAAAAGAAATGGTAAGAAAATAGCAATATATATACATACAAACTTGATTTGTGAAATTTGGAGATTCAAATCCAGAATTCACCTGAGCATTTCTCAATAATTCCAGAATGAGGAATCTTCTCACGCACTTCTTTGTAGGGTGCAAATAGAACAGGGAACTGAGACCTTAGATCCAGTTCCCAAATACCAAGTTCTGGTCCATTATCCTTTCCATCAATACTGCCACCAAGGTATGGCTCTGTCTCTTTTATGATCTCTCTTTCCTCTGTAAACGTATCCAGAGTTCCTACATAAACATTACAGTCTTCCACTGCACGAATCTTCCATGTTCGAGCAGGACGGCTACCCCAACAGCAGCGATGACCAACATGATCAATGAGCAACTCTCGTATCTCTACTTCATCCAAGGTTCCCCTAAAAGTTGATCATCCAATTAACAAGAATTTTTGGCAATGTAGTGCTGGAATATTGAACTTGAGAAATCCATATTCCATATCATAATGGGTTAAGAGACAGCCGGGGTGAGGAAGATGCTTGTAACTTAAACATGTATAACATGGTCTACCCAAAAATGCACTACCAAATGATAAGCCAATTCCACAACCAATTAATGGAAACAAGACAATCCAGTAATACGTCAATGAAACCAAACATAATTAGAAGTTTATCTTGATCAACCCAACTAATTTCTCTCCCATTCAATCTATCTTTATGAATTAGAGCATTTCCACTGCAAACAGCCTAAAGTATATAATCTAGTTGCTTCAAGCTGAATATGTGACTTGAATTAGTTATGCATGAATCTGTATGAATGGTGCATAACAGCACCACCCATATCAGATATATTTAACTATACATTTTCAAGTAGCAAATATACCTTGATTCCTTAGAGGTCATATTTAATCAAAGAGGCCTAACCATTTGAGCTATTGTTATTTTCTTAAGCTTATAAAGGTAGCGACAACCTATCTTTATTAATTGGAGCAGATCCACTGCAAATACACTAAAGTAAATCATACGGTTAAGCCAAGTAAAAGGTTGGGAGAACTAATGAAAGAAAGAGATATCATTGCTCTCAATTGCAAACGCTGACTCGGCATAGGTTAGTTAGGAGGGAATCTATTGGTTAGAGTCACACTCCCGGTGCATCAGACGAAGGCTGGTATCAAATAGCAAGAGAGGCAACATTTTGGAGACATATGGAATCTTGGCTTGAACTTGGGCTTGGGAGAGAGTAGAGCCTCTCAAATTGCTCTACAGTATCTTTCTGTTCCTGATTCACTTGTAATTTTCTGCCATTACTGTTCTATTTGATATTCCTTGTATCAATTGTTTAGATTCCCTTTATTGTTGATTTGCTTCAATTTCTTGATGGCTGAGACTAATACCAATAATACAATCCTCTGTTTTCATTCAAGTACCCATTTGAGTTCTGTTTTCTGTTATTACTGGCTGGGTCTTTATCATAAATAAACTAGTTTCTTAGTGCAGTATATATGATTTTTATTATTTATTCATGATTCCATATAAATGGTGCATACTGCATAACATCACCACCCAGATCAAATATGTTTACTTACATATTTTCAAGTAGCAAAGATACCTGGTTCCTTGGAGATCATATTTAATCAAAGAGACCAGAATCAACCCTTAAATATCATACTCTATTTACCTTTGTTTCTATTTTCTACCCTGAAGTCTTAAGCTAGAACCTCAGGCTCAGATCACTCAAAACGCCCTCTTGTAACTCTAAATTTTATGCTATAACTATCCATAGCATAGTAAATAGCCCCTTCACAATAATTGAATCAATCATTCAAAGGTAATTCATAAAGCCTTAAGCCAAAAGTTGTACCAACCCCTAAGTAAAGAATAGCTAAAGATCTCTCCACACAATGTCAATACTTCATATAATAAGCAGCTTGATTATGTCATGTAGCTTCTGTAGTGCATAACACCAGAATGTTCTTTACAATCTAAAGTGATTGAAAATCTTCTTTCTGCCTCAAATATCATCAGCCCATCCACACACACACAGATTTCAAACTCAAAGCTTTCACTCATAATAAGGTGAAAGATCAAACCCACGCAGAAAGGAAGGCCAGAGTAAAAAGAGGAACAGGCTAAATAGACATATTGCTGGATAACAGTAACGCTGCACACTAGCGCAGTTATTTAGACAAATGTCTCAAGGATTTGGTTCTTTATTAAATATGCACCTTAGGGAATATCATAAAAACTAATGAAAAAACAAGTAATGGACTTCAAATTAATGACTCAAGACCCAAACTATTAAAGCTTTTCAATAATGATTAAATATATGAACTTTAACCAACAAAGCCCGGCACAGTTGGTAGATAGCTAGGTCCTTTAAGCATGCTGACAGGGGTTCGATCCCTGGCCGTGTGTATAGAATAGGCTTTGTTGGGAGAGGCTGTACCCACGATCGCGTGATCTCTCCGCCTCGAGTGGATTAGTCCTTGGCTTTCTGCTGGGGAATACCCTTTGAACAATTTCCTAAATATATGAACTTTACTGATCTATGACTCACTCTGCACTTCTATTAAATTTTCTTATTACCAACGTATAATTTCTGCCACAATATGGTTTAAATAGTTGCAGAATAAAACCACAACCATTAATCTTTAAGACATAAAAGATAGCTTCATGCATAGCCTAGTTTCAATATGACAAGTTAAGTGGAACACATCGGTCAAAGGCTCATTTTATGTAATTATACCTCTGGAATTCGGGTCTGGGTCCACCATAATCTCCTCCATATCCACCTTGATAAACAAGAGCTTGCTCTGCAACAAGTAATGCAGTTGACATCCAGTTATATAGATAAGCAAAAGGTCTTCTGTAATAAACATAAACAAGAAAACTTAACAACTCTCTGTTTGCCTCATAACTATCAAAGATGTTGCTAGACAAAAATGAACAAGTTCCCCCAACTCAAGTTCAAATGCCTGTAGTTGTTCAATGATTTTTACTTTGGAACCCATATTTTTCCCAATCTTGACACAATTAAAAACCCAGATGAATCAACATTTCCATGACTTATTCATGGAAATGAAAATCAGAAAAACAAGATCAAAACCAATCATCATAATTGAATTGAGAATCAGAAACAACAAGAGCACCAACCTGTAGGATCAGGCTCGGGTGAGCCAACCAAAGCCCCATGAATGGAAGGGGGATAGAAACCTAAAGAAGAAGAAGCAGCAGCTGCAGATCGTATCTCATCCACACTCACCTCAGTTCCAGCCAATGAAGCAGTAGGTATCACAGAACCGGTTCGACCCACATGTTGATACGAGCTCCATTTTCCACTCTCCTTCTCAACCGATTCACTTTTTTGTTCTAATTCAAACCCAACAAAAAAGAAATAATACCCAGAATTAAAATCATGATAAGTATTCAAAATCAACAATAAAAATTGAAACTTTCTGGTAAAATATTGTCTTGTACCCGATAGCAGAGGCTCCTCCATGGTGGTCTAAATATTGTCCTGGACACAGGTCATGCACTTCGGTGCCTTATATATTGAGTATTACCTTTGCCATTAAGGAAATAGAATTGTGGGTTATACAATTACACGAGTCAAATGATACTATGATATAAGCATTTGTCTGTTCCTACAATGTGAAGAGGCTGGGTTGGATGGGGATGGCCCACGCTCTTCGCACACGGTATGCTGACTTGCTGTTCTGTTCTTGTAATATTGATACACAGCAAACGTCAAAACAAGAACAGAGATCTGTTGTTATCGGAGATATGATTTAAAGCTTATAAAATAGTCTTTTAAATTTTATCCAACATTAACATGTATGATTGATTATAAATATGCATTCCATGTGTAATGTTTCACTGAAGTATTTAGGTTTTTATGCATGGATCGAATCGAATTGAATTTTTCGAATAATCGAACTGATTTAAACGATTCGGTTAAAAAATGGTTCGGTTCAGTTTAAAGTAAGTGGGTTCGAAAGTGGTTCGATTGGAGTTGAAAATGATTCAGTTTAGTTCGGAACCGGTTTGGATTGACCCTATTTTAAAAAGAAAAAAAATTAAAAATTTAAAAAGATAAAGTAATAAAAATCAGTTTGGTTTGGTTCGAAAACAGTTTGATTCGGTTCGGAAATAGTTTGGTTCTTAAATCGGTTCTTGTAAAGAACCTTGGATACACCATCTCAAAAGTTAGCTCAAAGAGTGGGAGTACCCAAGATCTTATAAAGACCACATTAGTTGCACATCAACACGCCCCTTACACGAGAGCCCATTGGGCTTGAAGAGTGGACAATGCAACAGGCCCAGCCTACCTGTGCTAAGAAACGCCACAAGAGAAAGTGGGGGGCGGCGAGACTCTGATACCATGTAAAGAACCTTGGGATACACCACCTCAAAAGCTAGCTCAAAGAGTGAGAGTGCCCAAGGTCTTATAAAGACCACATTAGTTGTACATCAACACTGTTAAGAACCTTGAGGTCACCACCCCAAAAGCTAGCTCAAAGGGTGGGAGTGTTCAAGGCCTTATAAACCTCACATTAGTTGCCATACAACCAATGTGGGACTATATTTCTCAACACGCCCCCTCACACGAGAGCCACTATATTTCTCAACAGTTCTAAAAACCGATTCGGTTCATGAACTGATTCTTTAAAAATCGGTTTGGTTCATGAACTAATTTTTAAGAACCGGCTATTTTAAGTGCAGTTCAGTTTTGTTCATGGTTCGGTTCAATTTTTTGGTTGTTTTGCATATCTCTAAAAATATTGGCAACGCTCAAGAACTATATATCATAAGAAGTTCTCTGCTTACATCGCACCCACATTTCAAAAATTCTTTTTTGTTGTGTCTAACTTTTTTTAATATTTTGATATGTTTTGATATTTATAATATTTAAGATTTCATTAGATATTATAAAAAATTAATTTATATTTTACCAAATTGATATAGTAAAAATTAAAAATAAATATCTAATAAATTTTACTGGAATATATAAGAAATTTTCTATTTAAAAATGTAATAATGAATATTTACATATTATGTTTTTTTTTTTTGCAAAATTAACAAGTATTATTAGTTTGTGGAAGATTATATTTACAACTTATTTTCGTTTACAACTTCTTACAAATACAACCATATCTTAATCGTTGATTTTCGTCAATCAACAGTTAAGATTTTTGTAAATTAAATTTATTAATTAATTATTAATTCACAATAAATGACAACCGTTGATTGGCGGAAAACAACGGTTAAGATATGATTGTAAGAGTTTGTAAACTATTTGGGTTGTAAATATAGGGAAGGATATTGTGACAACCAAGTTGTGTTACTATCAAGTGACTACCAATTAATCTCACCGTTAGATCGATTATGTTGATCCAACGGTTATATTTATTTCCATCTTTGTATGGTTATGATTTGCCAAATTTAAAGTGAAAGCATTAAATATGGGAAATCATAACCATACAAAGGTGGAAATATATATAAAGTATTAAATTTGGGAAACCATGACCATACAAAGATGGAAATAAATATAACCGTTGGATCAACATAATCGATCTAACGGTGAGATTAATTGGTAGTCACTTGGTAGTAACACAACTTGGTTGTCACAATATCATTCCCCTGTAAATATAACCCCCTATAAGTTTAGTTTTATTTTTTTGTTATATTATTAAATATTAAATATAATATACTCTATATAAATTAAAAATATTATTTAATACCAAAACATATCTAAAATCTAATACTTTTTAAATTTATGTGTCAAAATATCATGTCCTATCTCATATCCATATCGTGTCCTGTGTCAATGTATTGGAACAGTGACCATTTTGTCACGCTTTGATAAAAAAATTACCAGACTGCCACGTGAACAGTAAAATTTCCCAAAATGCCACGCGCGATAATTCGCTACACAGTGTAGCGAATTATGTTTGCAAATAATTCGCTACACTAGGTAGCGAAATATGCCAACTCAGAATGCCCAGTCAGCAAGAATGCCACGTGTCAAACCTATAGTAATTCGCTACACAGTGTAGCGAATTATGTTGACCAGGAGTCAGTCATGTCAGTCAGTTGCTGGACACGTGTCACAACAACAATAATTCGCTACTTTGTGTAGCGAATTTGATGTCAGATTGCCAGTCCTGTCCAGTCATTGTCAGGACACGTGTTAATACCCCCAAAATTTGCTGAACTGCCTAGCGAGTTACCAACTTATTTTGCCATGATTCATAGCGAATTAGGGACCGATCTGACAAATAATAGACATGTGTCAGCCGCCTAGTAATTCGCTAGGGGGCATAGCGAATTATGTTCAATAAAATGGTGCCCAATATAGCGAAGTGTGTTACTATAAATGACCACACTTCCATTTCAGGAGCGGATTCTTAGTGCGAAAATTTTCCTTTTATATACAACATTACTACTTTTGTGTTGTTTTGTGAATGTTAGTTTATTTTCTACTTTTGTAAGATGAGTGAGGGTAGGAATGATGTAATCGCCACAGTTTATTATAATGGGAGAATATATTTTGGACCAAACGGGCAAGTTTTTGAAGGTGATGCAAAAATGTTTCGCATGAGCCCAACATGCAATCTTCATGAGCTTGAGAAGATAATATACAAGAAGTTGAGATTACAACGTGGTCAAACCCCGTGCAATGGGTTGGCGTGGAAATTGTTGAAGATGAATATGTAACGTTAGTAGTAGATGCAAGCACTTCAGAACACGCGAGTCAAGATTTATTGAATTTTATGCAGAAGTCAACTATGGTGGACAATCAAGCAGTCAACTTTCTCCACCATCAACTGACATCATCGACATAAACATGGTGCCAGTGGTTAATTCGGAAGATGAGGACGCGTCCCCCGCGCTTGCACCACAAACTCAACAATTGTTTGATGAAAGCTTGTCGGTCCACGACATGTACGATCCAGCATGGCGTACGGATAGTTCCGAGGAAGAGGTTGACGAAGGTCTTGTTCCGGACAACGAGTCATCAGATAAAGATGTTGAAGGTGATTTTGATTGTTGTCCGTCTACTGCAGTTGGTCAACCAATTCCATCGCCCGACATTGTTGGAATGCAAGACCCTCCAGTTGCAGGTATGTAACCATTAATGTGTTAGTGGTTTATGTAATGTCATATTAACAAATTATATGATTTTGGGGTTTCAGATATGTTATTGTGCAGGAAATGATAATGTATCATTTTGGGATGGAATCAGCCATTTCACGAATGTTAATTGGGAATATCCAGATCAAGAATTGGAAGATATGCATGGAGCACAAATACCTAACTTGCATATGGGTCACGAGCTATATAAGAACCAATTGTTCGACACCAAGCAAGATGTACAGATGGCAATTAAACAATATTGTATGGAAAATCATCGCACAACAGTCGTAGAGAAAAATGATACGAAAAGGTTGATAATGGTTTGTCAAAATCATAACGCCGGTTGTCCATGGAGGATGAGAGCATACCAAAAAAAGGGTGGTAGTGAATAACATTTAATAATATTACAAAATTATTAAAGCATAAATATAAAATTAAATTTATAGACCTAAATAATACAAATTTTATGCGTAAAAAAAATTAACCCTGAATAATATTAAAAATATTATTGACCATAAATAAAAAACAAATTGTAACATATCATCTAACATTAGAGCATGAATTAAAATTAATACATTAACTAACCTAATGTTTCAAATATCAATAATAAAAGAGCACGAATTATAAATAATACTTTAACTAACCTAATGTAAATATCTACATTAACTAACCTAATGTTTCAAAAATCTACACTATCTAATATTAAACATTAAATAAAATATTGAAACAACAAAAACTAAAGAAAACAAAAACTAACCTATAGAGAGAGAGAAGACACTTAGAGAGAGAAGGAGTGAGGTAGAGAGTGGGGGGAGGGGGGGACGCAGGGTTTTTATAGAATTTTTTTGCACCTGTGTAGCGAACTTGTGCATGTCTGACACGTGTCCATCTTGCTGCACTGCAGCAGGTTACCGTTAGGAGTAATTCGCTACACAGTGTAGCGAATTACTCCAAGTTTGACACGTGGCATTCTTGCTGACTAGGCATATTTCGCTACACAGTGTAGCGAATTATTTGCAAACATAATTCGCTACACTGTGTAGCGAATTATCACACATGGCATTTTAGAAAATTTTACTGTTCGCGTGACAGTCTGGTAATTTTTTTGTCAAAGCGTGAAAAAATGGTCGCTGTTCCCAATGTATTTCTCACAATAAATTGCAAGCAATTACTGCAAAGTCCACATTCGTTTAGTCGCACTCGCAAAAATAATAGAAAATTATATTGGTCCTACACTCCTTCCAATATAATTTTTTTGGAAGGGGGGGGGGGGACGCAGGGTTTTTATAGAATTTTTTTGCACCTGTGTAGCGAACTTGTGCATGTCTGACACGTGTCCATCTTGCTGCAGTGCAGCAGGTTACCGTTAGGAGTAATTCGCTACACAGTGTAGCGAATTACTCCAAGTTTGACACGTGGCATTCTTGCTGACTAGGCATTCTGAGTTGGCATATTTTGCTACACAGTGTAGCGAATTATCACGCGTGGCATTTTGAAAAATTTTACTGTTCGCATGACAGTCTGGTAATTCTTTTGTAAAAGCGTGGCAAAATAGTCATTGTTCCCAGTGTATTTCTCACAATAAATTGCAAGCAATTACTGCAAAGTCCACATTCGTTTAGTCGCACTTGCAAAAACAATAGAAAATTATATTGGTCCTACATTCCTTCCAAATTTTATATATATCTGTTAGTAATATATTTTAAATTCAGATAAAATTTAAAAAATGTAGGTTAAAAAATATTGAAGAAAATAAGAGAGAAAATTATAATTTAAATCTGCACAAATAGTTTAGGAAAAATAAAAAATGTTTCAAATTATAAGAAAGATATGCATAATTAATTTAAAAGAATTTGAATTTAAAATTTAAAAGATGATAAATTAAAAGTGGCATGTATTATTTTCAAAAAAATATATAAATTAAAAAATTAATTCACTTTAAGGCTTTGTTTGAGAGTTGATTTTAGGAGGGGAATGAAAGGAAATGGAGGATTTTAGTAAGCCCTTCCTTTGTTTGGGAGTTTAAATAAATGAGGGGAAGAAATTGGAAATTTTTACTAAACCCTCCAAAACTCTCATTCTTCTTAAAATAAAAGTTCACCCAATTTGGGGGATTTGAAGGGAAAAATATTAAAAATTACTTATCAACTCTTAGCATTAAAATGTGAAAACTACGTAGATGTGAATCATTTTTAATTGTGACAATATTAGAAAAGTCTCAAACACCGACAAAATTTATCGACAAAAAATATTTCGTAAAAAATAATGATGAAATTATTGAAGAAAATCATATACGTGAAATTTTTTTCGTCAAAACTAAAGGCAAAATTATAGGGCTTTTTGACCCTTATAACCCTTTATTATTAACTAATTACCGATTTGACCTTGATTATAAACTATTTCAAAAATTTAACCCCCTCGAAAAACATAACACCAATCTGCCCCTGTTTGACCGTTGACCACCAAGCCTACCCGGGTACACCCCTCTGTACCCGGGTATTTTTTGAAAATTTTTGTCTACCCGGGTAAGGACGAGTGTACCCGGGTATTGTTCTTCGTACCTGAGAAATTGCTTGAATTATTTACCCGGGTAGGGAGGGGTGTACCCGGGTAAATCTTCGACCACCCATTTGGTACTTGCTATAACTGGGGCAACTTGTAGCTGATGGATATAAGAACAGATATGATTTATTTGATTTTACCACAAGTTAATTATATTTGCGGATGTGTAATTAATTGTTTCATGGTAATTTTTTTTTTCTCTCTTTTTTACAGCTAATGAGATAGATCAGTATTATCAAGTTAAGCATGCCTAACCAATTTGAAGAGCTTTTAGCTTTGAGAATGGATTTGGAATTTCCATACATCAACACTTTACTGCTCATCAAAGCGGTCCCTGTTCGTATCGATTATGATGGGGTCTACTTTTATAGTGTTAACTGAGAATTCCCTTTCTAAAATAATCATTGAAAAATATTTGTGTGCTTTACAGACCCAAAAAAGTTGCAGAGGCGGAGCATGTGATAGTGGGTGCCTCCATATTCAAAGCTTGGAGAAGAAGAGTGCATGGGAGATCCAAAGAGTAATCATACCCGGGTGGTCGAAGATTTACCCGGGTACACCCCTCTCTACCCGGGTAAATAATTCAAGCAATTTCTCATGTGCGAAGAACAATACCCGGGTACACGCCTCCCTACCCGGGTAGACAAAAATTTTCAAAAAATACCCGAGTACAGAGGGGTGTACCCGGGTAGGCTTGGTGGTCAACGGTCAAACAGGGGCAGATTGGTGTTATGTTTTTTGAGAGGGTTAAATTTTTGAAATAGTTTATAATCAAGGTCAAATCGGTAATTAATTAATAATAAAGGGTTATAAGAGTAAAAAAGCCAAAATTATAGACAGAACCAGATTGTGCCATAATCACTGACATAAATTTTTTACAGAAAAAAAAAATTCAGTACAAATTATTGATAGAATCTAAATTTCGTTGAAACTTTCAACGAAAATATTTCCGTCCAAAATTTTGACGAAACACATTTCCATCAAAAAGTTTCGACTTAAAACAATTACGTCAAATTTTTTACGAAAAACATTTCCATCAAAATTTTCATAAAAAAAATTTCGACGAAAAATATTTTCATCAGAATTTGTGACTAAAAATATTTCTGTAAAAAATGTTGACAGGAATTTTTGTGTCAGAATTCTTTACGGAATCTAAATTTGGTCAAAACATTTCCTTCAAAATATTTCACAAAAAAATATATTCATCGAAATTTTGGACGAAAAATATTTCCATCAAAATTTTCAACAAAACACATTTCTTTTGGGAATTTTTTACGAAAAAAATTTCATCATAATTCTTTACAGAATTCAAATTTCGTCGAAAGTTTTCGACAGAGACAATTTTGTTAAACTTTTTGACAAAAAAAATTTCTGTCGAAATTTTTAACGAAATACATTGCCATCGAAAATTTTCGACAAAAAATATTTCCGTCAAATTTTTTGATAAAAAACATTTCCATCAAAATTTTCAACGGAAAAAATTTCAGTCAAAAATTTTCTACAAAAAAAATTTCTTCAAAATTTTTGACGAAAAATATTTCCATAAAACTTTTGACGGAAAAAATATTCTGTCAAAATTCATTACAGAATTTAAATTTTGTCGAAAGTTTTTGACAAAAAAATTTTGTCAATTTTTTTGTTATAACACATTTCCATTGAAATTTTGAACGGAAAACATTCCGTCAAAATTTTTGACAGAATTCTTTTTCTTTTAAATCATTTAATGGAGGAAATCATTTTTGTCAAAACTTTTGACGGAAACTAAATTTCTTCGAAAATTTCGATAGAAAATTTATATCTGTAAAAAATTCCATCGCTTTTCGACGAAAGGTATTCTGATGAAAAATAATTTTGTGACAAAATCGCGTCGTTTGCAATGTAGAAATTTCATCGAAAATATGATCTTTTTTGGTAATGTGAAAAGTACATAAATAATTTTGTTAGAAATTTCAAATTTAATTTAATTTGTAAAATATAATAATTATATTAATTTTAAAAAAGGGTACAATGGTAAAATTATCTCATTAACTCTCCATTTTTTTTTCTTACCATTTTTTTAACTTCCAAACAAAGGAAGAGAATACCGTTTAATTTCCTTCCCTTCCCTCTCTCTTGGATCCCCTTCCTTTCCTTTCCTTTCCCTCCAAACTTCTAAACAAAGCCTAAAAGATATGGTATGGATTTTCATCCATGAGATTGTTCGGTAATGTACTTGCATTTGAGTAAACCTACTCCATCATAGGGTTTTATCTAATTTTTCCTTTGATGTGGTTCTGTTTTTTTGAGGCATTGAGCTTGTTTTTAGCTTCAGTCCTCTAATATCTTTATTCTTCTCGTTTTGATGACGGTAATTATGAACAAACAGTTATGATCGAACTGTATTTTTTTTATATATATATATATATATATATATATATATATATATATATATATATATATATAGGGGTTTGCATTTGTCATTTAACACACAATAAACTTTTCTACACACACAACATTTTGTGGGCCCATACTTTTTGAAGAAAAAAGAAAAAAAAAATGAAAATTACTGCACGCAAAACGAATCTCTATAACATTACACAATCACTTTTCCTACAACATAATTCTTATAAAACCCATATATATAATTTTTTATTTTTTAGTTCTCTTATCAGTGTACTTCATTGATTTGTAAGCAATGAAAAAGTGCTCTCCTAATTACACTTGTAAAATTACAAACCAACGTCCAAATATTTCAAACACTAATACATTGTAGACTTACCACACACCTCTCCTTATCAGCTATCACCCATAGGACAAAATTCAAAGGATAATTTGAATTTCTTCCTTTGGCTTCTTCAGGAGGCAGAATAAGCTCTCTGTCAAAGGAGCTTTGGATGTCAAAGAAGCCGCTAACAGGTTTAGTGCCTGACCAAGTAAACATAATAAATGTCACTTACTTCTAAATTGTAAAGGGGCTAAGAGGGTAAAATGGAAGAAATATTGTACAAAGGTCACCATAGCCAGTTATTTGACCAGAACTAACGCTATGCATACGTAAAGGCATTCATAAGAATCAAATTTTCTTATACCAATATTGTGCTGTTATTTGACCATTGTCTCCTTTTTAACAAAAATATGTTTGACCAGTGCACGTGAAATATCCTCGAGTACATATTTATATATTCGAGTATAACATCCATGATACTCGAGTATATGGGTCTAGACTCGAGTAAACGTTCAATATCTGAATTTTTTTGAATATTTACTCGAGTATATGATCCAAATACTCGAGTATTTGTCGTTCCACATAATAGACTCGAGAGTATATGGATATGTACTTGAATATATTGCACGAAAAATTTCTACGGAAATTTTCCAACTTCGAACGGCCATAACTTTTAATTTCGGTGTTCGAATCAAGTGCTTTTTATTTAATTCCACTTCGAGAACTATGCGTTGAAAAAATTCCAGTACAAAATTTTTGCGCAATATACTCAAGTACATGCCCATATACTTGAATATATTGCGTGAAACAACAAATACTCTAGTATATGGGTTATATACTTGAGTATAAACTCATGACACTTGATTTACTCGAGTAAAAAGTATATATTCGAGTATATGACTTGGTCAACGGTGTAACAGGAACAAATTTATGTATAGTTTTAGGACGGGACAAAATGGTAATTTTAAAATTAAAAAAAGTAAAAAGGTCAAATAGCCAATATTGTGCAGCAAGAAAGAACAAATCGTCATGGTTAGATTAATACCTCCTGTGCTCCAATTTCTACCACGTGCTCCTCCAAATCATCCAACGGCACATTCAGCTTTTGCAAAAACGAAATGCTAGAAGTAGTTGTCAATGGTGTCACCTTAAGATCATCCAACACAACAAACAGTGACGGTCTCCTCACAAATCCTACCGCAGGATCTCTTCTTCCATCGGGAGATCTCGGATCAAAAAGTTTCATGGCTTGTGGATATTGTACCTTATGCATTTCCTTTGAAATGGTTCCATCTTGGACAGAGCCCGTATTAGTTTTCATTACTCCTGTACCATAACCATACCAATAACTAGGAGTGTCTTCTTCTGAAAGAGATAGTAGCTGCCTCTTACAACCATATTGAGGAGCAACCCGCATATTCAGTAAGGAAGTGCCCGATGAACCTATGAACCATGACGAATTAAGATCCTTCACACTTGTATACAAGTTATCCATGCATCCCAAAGATAATTTGGCATATGTAAGTCTCAGAATAGATCCAACAGGTATTGTGAGGAAGCTGAATAGAAAATCAACAAAGTCTTCCTCAGCTTCAGCAAACATAATCTTGTTCTCGGATTTGCAAACTGTAATCTTGAGGTCTACAGAATATCGAAAGTTACCAAAACGTCGAGGGCCAGTTATAGCATGTGGTGAGAAAGAGTACATTGGCTTAGATTCTCCATTTGCCAAGAATACATCACTTAGAGGAGATTTGGAGGTCAATGCTTGTTTTACTATACTAGAAATCTACAAAAGAAATTAACCAACTTAAGGTATAAGCCTAAAAAGTTATAATTCATTAAATAAGGAAATTTTCACACCTCCGTCAAACATTAAAAGGGAATTGCTCCTTTAATATTTAATTTTAACATAATTATTACAACATCCAAAAAATGTAATAAAATAAATTAAAGAAAGAAGAAAAATTTACGGTGAGTAAGAATTAAGTTGACAATATAATCAAATAATTGATTGTCTTTTTTTAATTATGTAAATGTTTGATGTGATATTATTCAAAAACATCAAATTATAGTGATAAAGTGATGAGTTGTAAAAATAATTATGAAGGAAAAAGAGTCCAAATTAAAAAAAATATCATTGAAAAATATCAAATGATGACGACAAAATGATTAGTTGTGAAAATTATAATAAAGCAACATCATTAAAAAGTATCAAATGGGAATAACAAGGTTATTAGTTGTAGAAATAATAATGAAGCAATATCATTGAAAAATTCTAAAAAGGTTAATTGTAAAAGCAATAATAACGAAAAAAGGAAAAAAAAAATAGTGGTATTATCAATGTCTTTTTGTCTAACGGAAGAATGCATATAAATAGGTGAAGTTTTAATAGTTAAATAGTTTGCTTTGTTTAAAGGCTTTTATAACATTTATATTGATTATGATGATATTTGATAAATATCTTCATTTAGATGGTATTGAAAAATTGCATCTTAATTACATACAATTCTGCTCATCACAACTTTACAAGGTACTTAAGGGAGTGTTTGTTTCAAGTTAGTGTTTTTTAAATTATTTCTAGGAATCTAAACGTGGGAGAGAAGTATTCCTAGGTTTTTTCAAGTTTTAAAATCTTATTTCCAATAATTTCCAAAGAAAATGATAGGTCCATCTTTTGGTCTAATTTCATTCTCACGAATGAGTTTGGGTATATTGTATTCTCACAACTTGGAAATCAATCTTCCTGTGCAAAAGTACAAAAATAACTACTCAATGCAACTCTAATGTTCCATTCCACAATCTACATTCTCCCGTTGCTAAGTGATGAACTAAATATATTTAATCATTTTTCCGAGGATCAGAATTAGTCAATACTTTTGTCAGGTTTAGTCTCCTAGTAGGCTAGTCAGATTCGTTGTTTTGTTATTTCTCCCCTATTGGAAGAATGTTGTAATTTTGTAAGACAGATTGCACGTCAGGTTTTGTTATTTCTCCCCTGTTAGGATGTGCTTTGATGATGTCCCATTTGGATTCCATTGTTTTATATATATATATATATATATATGTTTTGTCTGAGGCCGAGATGTGTAACTGTAAGTTAGATAGTTGATGTTGGATCTAGTGCTTTCTATCTAGATACCTATGAATTAGGTATTTTGGGGGCAGCCAATCACTACACACTTATATGAAGGCCTTAGCCAAAGGGTGTGTGTGTGTGAGCTGTGTGGTTGCATAAATTAGGGTTAGAGAGATCAATCATACATGTGGTCTTTAGCTCCCTTTTATAGTGCTTACCTTTGGGCTTGTATTATTTGGGCTTTCTATGGATGTGGGCCTCACTCAGGTCCATAACAGTTGCCCCCCCAGCCCGGTAGACTAAGTATTCTGGATGCCGGGATGTCCGAGTTATGTCCTTTTGACGTCTACGTTTCATCTCGGATACTGGCCTATCTCGGCCTTGTCACTATTTCTGCTTTGATTCGAACTTCGGCTTCTCTTAGCTTGACTGGAGGAGATGGACGAGGTTCTTCAGGTTACCCTGGATATAGCTCTATCCGAGATGCCTTACCTGCGGTGTGGTACGGCTTTCTCTTTCAAAAAACAATTCCTCTTTCCTAAGAAACGATTCTTCTTCCTGAGAAACGATTCTCCTTCCACATAATGATTATTTTCCATGTGGCCCTCTTCAACGAGTGCGACGTGTGGCATTACTCCTCCCACGCCGTTTTACATTAATTTCCACTACAAAAATGTCCCTCAATTGTCTTGTCAACCATCAAATTACTTTCATACCCCTGCCCTTTGGCTTCGCGGGTTTTAATCTTTTCGACTTCAGCTGTTTTTTCTTGGTCTTCCAGATGTAGTGGGATTTGATTATACCCCGAATAAGCATCTATGAAGGACAGCATCTGGAACCCGGATGAGCTATCAACCAGCTGGTCTATGTTAGGCATAGGGTACGCATCCTTAGGGTATACCTTATTCAAGTCGGTGTAATCTGTGCATACTCTCCACTTTCCATTTGACTTTTTAACCATTACCACATTGGATAGCCAAGTTGTATATTATATTTCCCGGATGAAACCTGCTTCCAACAATTCCTTCACATGATCCTCTAACACCTGTCGACGTTCTGGGCTAAGCTTTCTTTTCTTCTGAGCTACCGGCTTAGATCCTGGATACACTGCTAGCTTATGACAACAGAAAACAGGGTTTACCCCAAGAATTTATGAGGACTTCCAAGCAAAGACGTCCTTGCTGTTTCTTAAACATGTGGTAAGTTGACCTTTTACCTCGTCCGTCAACCCTTTGTCGATCTTTGCAGTTTGTCCTTGCTCTCCGATGGTTACTTCTTCTAACTCTCCGTCGAGTTCAAGCCTAGGCATCTGAGTATCATCCCTCATGTCTAATTCCACCATGTTAACTGAAGTTTTCTCCTTCTGGCTCGGGCCGACCTAACTGCTGGTCTTTTTTATCTCGGCTGAAGGTTTGGGATCACTGTCCACCACTCTAACTGATTTGAAATAACAGTCTCGAGACTCCTTCTGGTCTCCGGCGATGGTGATTACCGTGTTTTGCTTACCAATCATCTTAATTTTCTGATGTTTGGTGGAAACCAACATATCCCAACTGTGGATGGTTGGTCTTCCCAATATCACATTATATTTCGAAGGGAATTCGGCTACAATGAACCTTACCTTTTCAGATTTGTATGCCTCTTTGGTTCCTAAAATTTTAAGGATGGTATTACGGACGTTGAATGCAATCAAGGCGGTGTTGCAGGGCTTCAAGTCTTCTTCATCTAGGTTCATCTTTTTGAACGCCTGCCATAGAATTATGTCGGCACAACTGCCATTGTCCACAAATATCTTCTTGACTTTGCAGTTGACTAGCGTTCCCGTAATGATCAATCCGTCAACATGTCCTGGAATCACATCTTCCAATTCTTCTCTAGTAAAATATAGCAGTGGCGGCTCTGGTTTGGCTTCTTTGAACTTAGGTCGCTCCCGAATCGAAAGCACCTCTCGTAAATATTTTCTTCTGGCATTTGTAGTATCGCCTCCCCCGCCAAAAGCCCCGCCAATTACATTGCATTCAAACTCTGGCTCCACAAATTCATCCTCTTCTCTAGCCGGCTTCTTACCCCGGCTTTCTTCTTTGAATCTCTTTTCTTTTGGCGGACTCATAGGTCGGCCCCTTCTTTTCCTGTTGTTCCTCCATCCTTGAGTCCTTATTAAATACTGACGCAGCTTTCCGTCCCTGATATATTTTTCAATCGCATCCCTCAGATCCCAGCATTCATCTGTAGTGTGCCCAAGCCCATCATGAAATGCACAATACCGAGATTGATCTAGGCTTGGTTCAGCAAAGGCCGAGGTCATCTACCTTCTTCATCTCAGTGGAGGCCACTTCTCTCCAGATTTGTGACCTGGATGAATTTAAGGGTGCGTACTTCTCGAATCTTCCCATTGCTGGAATTCTTTCGTCTTATCTTTTACCTCGGAATTCATTTTGCCTTCGATTTCCGGGTTTCTCTATTTGGTTAGGATGGTGCTTCTGATCCATATTCTCAATCTCCATCTGTTCAAGCTCCAGATACTTCTTTGACCGCGCTGTGAACTCTACCAGCGTTCGAACCGGGTCTTTGTGTATAGACTTGGCCAACCTAGAGGTGCCATGCAACCCTGCTATTACCAAGTGCAGATGTACGTTTTCAGATAATCCTAAAACCTGCAAGGCTGCCATTTTAAAACGATCCAAATATTTTTGCAAGGTTTCACCAGGTTGCTGTCTTATTTTCCCCAGCGCAAATTCTGACTTTGGTTGTTTTTTGCTAGTGGCACAATTCAGCAAGAATCTTCCACCAAATTCTTCAAAAGATCTAATGGACCCCGCTGGTAATGATGAAAACCATGTTTGAGCCGCTCTTGTCAACATAGTCGCAAAAAGTCGCGTGATCAAAGGTTCTTCTATCCCCTTGATGTACATAGCTGTGTCGAAGGCATCCAAGTGTACTTGGGGATCTTGCGTTCCGTCGTACTTGAGGAGCTCTGACAAATTTAGATTTTCTGGGAATGGTGCATCAACAATCTCGTCCACGAAGGGACTATCATTATATTGCCCCCTGTTGTACTTTCTCCTGTAAACCCCAGACACGTCATCTGGGTTCCTGAATAGATGCCCGTCACCTAGGGGCTGGGGGTTTTCTATCTACCTCGTTATACCTCTTCCTCCATCTCGACTTCCTTGATACCGAGGTTCTTGATTACGAACCGGGTTAGTAATACCCCTTTGAGGTCGGCCATCAGCACTTCTCGCTTGACTCTGGGTTCGATCATTGTTGTTCTGCTGGGGATTCGTGATCCTTAGGTCGGCCATGACCTGCGTTATAGCTCGTGCAGGATCCGAGTTGGAGACTCGTCATAGCCGAGTTTCCAACTCTCGAATTTGCCTAGCACCTTCTTGCCTTTGGAGCTCATGCCTTCTCTCCATCTCCTCCATTCTCCGAAGCACCGCGGAGACATCCAGATCTGTCACCAGCGGATCGTTGGCTACATCATTTGGCATCTGCGCGGCATCTGCAATCTGTTCCTCCATTGGTTGTAGCCCCTCTACATATGGAGCATTTGGATTAATTGCTGGCTGGAGTTGATGCTGAATCAGAGTGCACATCGCTAATGTGCACAACATTGGTGTTTAGCTGTTGGTGATCCTGAAGGACTTGCTGTCCTGAAGGATCCTCCCTGATCGGAGGAATTGGCTGGTGTCTGGAATTCGACCTTGAGGGTTGTCGGTAACCACTTCTCGTCACCCTCACCATTTTGATCGGTGGCTTTTTAAACACGTGATCGTAGGGAAAGTGTTCCCACAGACGGCGCCAATGTTCTACCTGAGGCAGAGATGTCTAACCGTAGGTTAGATAGTTGATGTTGGATCTAGTGCTTTCTCTCTAGATACCTATAAATTAGGTATCTTGAGAGCAGCGAATCACTACGCACTTATACGACGACCTTAGCCAAAGGGGGTGTGTGTGTGTGTGCGCTGTGTGGTTGCATAAAATAGGGTTAGAGAGAGATCAGTCATACTTGTGGTCTTTAGCTCCCATTTATAATGCTTACCTTTGGGCTTGTATTATTTGGACTTTCTATAGATGTGGACCTCACTCAAGTCCATAACAATATATATAGTAGAAATGTGTATTATGTTCGACAGTTAGATTAATATGCCAAATTTGTATAAATAAATATTACGATACAAATGATTATAATCTTATTTTTTATATTTTTATTCCATTTTTTTATATATTGGAAAGAATAATATTTAAATAATAGTTTGTATATTAGGAGCATTTTGAGAATGATAACATACATTCATAGGAATATGCGTTAATCGAACAGACTTTTAAATTATTTCAAGAATTCCATAAAAGATTTATCTTCATTTATCATATTTGTCATTTAGTTTAGTTTTAATTTTGATTTATGATATAAGTGATAAGTACAAGTCGTAAAAATGTTTTGAATTCAATGTGAACTTTCGATCACAAAATAATCATTTTAATCCACTAAAATTTTAGTACTTTATTAGCAAGATTTCACAACTACTGTATATTACCCCTATTTAAGTTCATACAAAAGCTTTTAAGTGCAACTCTACGTACAAGTACCATGTTAAATGAACAAAAAAAAGCATATTACCTCTTTCATACCAACTTTTAGAGACATTTCTGTCATCTTATTGAAGTCTCTGTACCCAAGTTGGAGGAGTTGTTGTACTGTGTTTCCAGGAGAACTTTTGAGCACCCTCAAATCATCAAAGATCAAGAACATGGTTTTCTCTTTAACAAAAACACCATTCTCATGAGTCTCTTCATTGGATTCTACCACTAACTTCATTTCTTTGTCCATCAATTTCCCACATGAACAACTTGTCAGACCAAAAGTACTCAGCAACCAATCATTGTCCTCTAGACAGCTGCTACACATGTAATACTTAGTATCTGTATCATCTACATTTAACTTTAGTCTCTTACAAAGGGCTTCACAAGGGTTGGCCGGAGAAAGCAGCATTTTCTTGCAGATATGGTTCCAGAAAACATCAGTACTGAAATCTTCCACACTCTGATACAGATTGTTGAGGCAACCAATCTCTACTGGTTGATGAGGTTGGTTCTTGGACACAAGTCTAATGATTGTTCCCAATGGAAGGGTCAAAAAACTAAAGAGAACATCTACAAAGTCTCCACTTGCTTCAGCCATAACTACAAGCTTTCTTTCTTTGTCCACCCACAGTTTCAAGGGGATTATTGTTTCTTGCTTGGAAGCCATAGCACAAATATAAAATCACAGAAAAAGAAGAAAGAGATTTGCAGGTTTAGTGAAATTTCTGATATCTCAACAAAGGAACTCGCCTATTTTAGTAGACACTGACAAGGCCTCAAAATTAGATAACTTCTCTTGAAAGAGAGGTATGCTGACCGCAATTATCTATACACAGAGCTGGTTTTGTGTGCTCCGGCCCAGGGAAAAATTGGTGGGGGTGAGAGAGAAAGAGAGAAAAGACTGAGAAGACAGGAGAGAGAAGGAGAAAAAAAAAATTAGTGCACATGTCAATTTGTGAATGAAAGGATCATGGTGGTCTTCAGGAGTGTTCGCGGTTTAGATTGGATTTATTTTGAAAAAAAAATTATCTGATCCAATACATTCGGTTTGATCATTTAATCATCTATTCAGTTTGGATTTTTTTTTTTAAATTCAATCCGATCCAATCCAATTTTTATCGATTTGGATTGGATCGATTTTCGGTTTTTTGAAAATCCTAAAATTTGTTTCATGATTTTTGTGCAATAACATATTTTATATATATTGGCTTTGTAATTTTTTTTTGAAATACAAAAGCATCAGTAAACGATAATATAGTTTTTTTTTTTGGCAACGAGATATGAAGCTCTAGACAGATAAAATTTTGCTGATGAGATGTGATTAGGTTTTTTCTTGGGTGTAGTTGTGGATTAACAGGTCTTGGGTTTAGAATTTTTTGGGCTATGATTGGGGAAAAGCTCAAGTAGGTAGAGAAAAATTAATATACTGGATCGGTTTTCATCAACCCATTTGAAACCGATCCAATCCAATTAAAACTTGGTTTTTTTTTTCGGTTATCAATTTTTCGATTTTCGGTTATTGATTTTTCGATTCGATCACCACGGTTTGAATCGGTTTGGATCGGTTGATAAACACCCCTAGTAGTCCTGAATCATATTAAAAAATTCCCAATACACATACTTTCTTAAACAAGTTCACTTATTTTATGCCAATATATAAAGGGGAATTTTTTTATCCTTTTAAATAGCACAACTTATATCATTTTATTCTCACAAAGAGGTGATATCCATACCTTTATTTTTTTATGACTCTCTCTCTTTCGTTTTATCTAACTCTTTCTCACACTTAAAATAACAGAACTTTACATTCTTTAAAATTATACACATTTTTTCCACATATAAAATTATGATGATAAAGCACAACTAGTGCTCCATTATTTGTCCTACTAAGCAATATTAATTGGTGCTAAGAGTTCTTAAGGTAGTGTTTGGTAGAAAATTTATTTTGGAATTGATGGAAAAATGTAAGTGGATATTGGAAAATATCACGTTTGATTCAGGTTTTCAAAAAAAATACTAGTCAAATAGGATAGATGGAGAAATGACTTTTGTGTTGATTTTTGGATGAAATTCACTGTTACAGAATACCACTTGAGATGTGGTATTTTGAGATAACTGGAGAAGTGAAAAAACAGGTGCGAAGTTTCTCCCAAACATAGATTTTGCAAATTTAAATAAATTTTCCTAGTAATATTTCGGTCAACCAAACAACTTTGTTTACATTTTCCTATCAAACTCATTTTCCAACCATTTCTCTAATAATTACATTTTTCTAGTATTCAAAAAAATTCTCCTCAACCAAATCCCACCTAATACATGTGACGTTGCAAAAGCCAAAAGCCAACAAATTCTGATATGATAAAAAGTTGAAAAAGTTGAATTAGTTGTACTAGTTTAAGCTTTACAGCTGGCTGCCTGCATCTTGACCAAAGGTGATTCTTAATAATCCGTCGGCAAGCTTATTTGAAGTGATTATTTAAATCTTGGTACATCTTTTCTTTTTTGTTTTATCCTGAACTATAATCCAGTAAGGGCAGTTCCATGCCAAGCACCAATAGCCACATGAAAGCCCAAATCGAAAATAACCACAGGGGAAGGTCGGGTAATAGACTTGCAATGTTATCTTCCATTTCCAGGCTTCCTACATTCTCACACACTCTTGATTTGGGCCAAGTTGGGTGGATATGCCCATCTCCTCTTGATTTGGGCCAAGTTGGGTCGGGTCAACCCAATTTTTTTCCTGAAAGTCTAAAATTTTGTTTTTTGAAAAATTAAAAATGGCTAGGGTATTTGAATATTATCCAAAACAGTTGAACCTATTACCTCACTCCATGAATGCCAACATGAATTACTATATCAGTGAGCTGTCCTCTACGATTCGGCCTCGATTTCGACCACTATTCACCAGACTCTGAGCTTTATATATTGCGGCTATAGGAGCTGCAATGCTCCGCCACGAAAATATTTTAAGTGCTTTGCATCTATTATTAAGTGCATCCATTCGATAAAAACAAGGCATCAACGTTGATAGAGATATTTGCGGTCTAGATTAAATCGATTTTGAAAGTAAAAATTATTTTATCCAATCTATTCAGATTGATCATGTAATCATCCATTCGGTTTGGATTTTTTTTTAAATTCGATTAAATCCAATTTTATTAAGTTTGGATTAAATCACTTTTTTGAAAAGTCTAAAATTTCTATGATGATTATTATGCAAATAATATATCTTCTGTATGTATTGACTTTGTAAAGTTTATATAATGATTACTGTGCAATCTAGAAACATCAGTAAACAATAATCTAATTTTCAATATAGGACAACAAAAAGTTGTATTACCAATTTTCTATCTCAAAAATAAAAATAAAAATTTACAATGTGATTGTCTCAGATGCGAAGTAATCTAAATTTTCATCCTACAAATGAGCTGTTAAGTAGGTAGAGGGAAATTAATATATTGGATCGGTTTTTACCGACCAAACCAAAAATCGATCTAATCCAATTAAAATTTGAGGTTTTTTTTTTATTTCAGTTAATTCGGTTATCGATTTTTTGTTTGGTCACCACGGTTTGAATCTGTTTGGATGATGAACACTCCTAAACGCTGATATGTTATCTAAGAAAAAGAAATAACTATAATATTTTATTTATATATTCCTCAAAACACATGATCATAATTTATTCATAATATAAATATTTCATTTTGAATTTATTTTAAATGGGAGCAATACCCATTATTGGGTGCAAGGGAAAAATGCTCTCGTCCACCACGTAGCCATAGCAGCGTTACATGTCACAAGACTTTGACCAAAGTAACACGTTTTGAATAATAAATTAATGGTATGCCACGCTCTATTTTGATTTTTCCAAAATGCCACGCTCAATCCCACTACACGACCAAGCGAGATTAAAAGATGACACGTGGCGTTCAACCATGGAGACCCATTCTCGCTGGTCTGACAAGCTGGAATGGTTTGTCAATCAACCAGTCTGCACACTCTGAAAAGCAAGACACGTGCCACCCTCGTACCATTCGCGCTGGTCAGTATAGCTGTATTGGTTGTAAGTTCAGTAAAGCAGGCCACGTGTCACCATACCACCATTCACGCTGATCAACCAAGCTAGATTTGGTGTACCTTCAGACACGTGTCAGCACCCCCTGAATCGCCTGGTCTGCCTAGCTGGTTTGGTCGTACTTTCCATACACGTGTCATCACCCCTTATTCTAGCTGAGCGGCCTACCAAGTTTGGTTCTTTTATAAATAGTAGCAAAACATGAAACATCCAGTAACCAGAAGAAGTAAAAAAGGGTGCGCCAAAATTGCGAAGGTTAGATTCTATAATCATTTATTTTCTCTTGTAATTTTATGTTATTTTATGTTATTAGTTAGAAAATGAGTGACGGTAATGATTCAGTAATTGCTTTGTTATATTACAATGGGAGAAAATATTTGGGTCCAAATGGCCAAGTTTTCGAAGGAGAAACAAAAATATTTCGTATGAGCTCGCGGTGTAGTTTTAATGAACTAAAGAAGACAATATATCAGAAGCTGAGATTACAACGAGGCCAAGTTTTATCTCGGTTGACTGCTAGATGTGCCTCTGGACCTGAAAGTTGGGTTCCTGTAGAGATCGTTGAGGATGAAGATGTTGCTTTAGTGGTAGATGCATTTCGAAATCATTCACACTCCACATTTATTGAACTATATGCGGAAGTAGACTCCGGTGGATAGTGTAGCAGTCAACATTTTCTCCCTTCCACTCACTCTATCGACATTAATATGGAGCCGGTTATGAGTTCGCAATATTCTCTCCCTTCAATTAACGTTATTGACATTAACATGGATCCAGTTGTGAGTCCCGAAGACAGAAATGTGTCACCCGAACCGCCCCTTCCCGAACCAATGTGTGCTGAATATGATGTTGCTCACGATATGTATGATCCGGCATGGCGTACTGACAGTTCCAACGAAGAGGTGGACGAAGGGTTAGTCCCGGGCAGTGACTCTTCGGACACCGACGTGAATGGAGATTTTGATTCATGTCCGTCCACCGCTGTGTGTTATGCGGTTCCTTCTCTTGGCATTGTTGGAACGCACGAGCCCAGAGTGGCAGGTTAGTAAATATAAAAAAAATTGTGCTTATACATACTTCATGTTAATTTGTATACATTATTAATGCACTGCTGATACAGGTGAAGGACAGACACCATTTTGGTCTCAAATAAGTCATTATAGGCGTATTAACTGGGCTCACCCAGATCAGGAGTTGCCAGAAATAGGTGGAGCACAAGTACCTAACTGGCAGATGGGTCATGAACTGTATAAAGACCAGGTGTTTGACAACAAGCACAATGTTCAGATGACGATCAAACAATTTTGTATGGGGCAGCACCACACCGCAATTGTATGTAAAAGTGATACGAAAAGATTAATCATGGTTTGCGAAAATCACAACAACAGTTGTCCGTGGAGGGTGAAGGCACACGTTAAAAAGGGAGGGACGGAATGGATTATCGGCAAGTGGGTTAACGAACATAACTGTGTTAACCAGACTCTTTCTCAAGACCACAAGCAGCTGGATTCAAATTTCATATGTTCAATGATTCTAGGTATGTATATCTATTATAATCTGCGATATTATATAACTAAGTTATCATAAACTAA